CATGTTCTCTCAGTGCTCATTAGCCAGACACCTGTGACTGAGCCATGCTGAGACCACAGAGCAAGAACACAGATGGACAATTACACATTTTTAAAATTCCTCTCTGTGCCAGCTGTAAATCTTGAGACTTGTGGGAGTAAATTCCCTGCCCTTTTTACCTATTCCCCTTGAAATACATTATCAGCCTCAGGATTTTCCCCACTCCTGTTCAATGCCTGCCAAGAGGAAGCAGCAATATTGCTCAGACAGCTACCTTAACTGTCTTTAAAGCAAAGCAATAAAATAGGTGGCAGTCTCCCAAACTCCTTGGCTTACACACCCTTTGTTGGCCAACTCTGTCACATTTGGTCAGTCTTAGCTGTCGTGTAAGGAGCAGAGAGGACATCACAGCCACTGATAAGGAAATCAGAGGCTGAACAAGGGCAATGGAAAGCTCAGGCTGTTCTCAGATGTCTGATCTCCTAAAAAGGGTCTGGATCCAGGGGCTGAGGCTCTGGAAGAGGACAGCAGATCTGGAGTTAAAAAGTGTGCATCTAGGACACAGCTGTCCATTCACCAAGCACAGATGTGAGCCAGATTAAAAAAGGAAAACCAATCCTGCAGTGGTGAGAGGCAGCACTGAGAAATGCCGAAGCAGCAGCACTGTACAACTGCAGAGAACTGAATTATAACCTCACCTCCACTCTGAGGTCAGCACTTCTTGCTGCAAGGGGATAAATCAGTCCTTCACCAGCTCTGTACAGCTCTGCTGAGGAGCTTACCAAGGTGAAGAGTCCAGCAGCCCAGACAACACCACGGGCTGGGCTCAGACCTCACCATCCCACTCAGAGAGGCCTCAGTTAAACCTTGATGACTTCGCAGGAACCAAAAAAAGAAGCTCTGGCCACGGCCTGTAGCCCTGCCCACACAGTTCCCATGTCAATGGCATTCTTGTACAGAGATCCATGCTATTGGTGGAGAAAGGGCTTTCAGTGGCACAGGCAAACCTCCTGACAAGAACCCACCCTCAGCCTCCTTACATCACCTTTGCTGCTTCTGCTCAGAAAGTCAGGAATTTCACCACCAAAACCCACTGATTCAACCTTAGGTCCAGCTTAAGGAAAAGAGCAGGGCTATCCCCAGTGACAGATGGAGAGTGGAGCCCTGCTACAGCTTTGCTTTGGCTGCTTCGTTCCCGTGCACGGGAAAGCGGCCGAGCACCATCAGCACAGCAGCTCTGCAGAACCAGGGGAGCATTCCCACCCCGAGGATCACCTGAGTGTGTAAAGCTCTGCCTTCAAACCACAGGACAAAGCACGTGCACAGAAATACAAAGCTTTTAATTTGCAGTCCTTTACTTGGGATCTGCGGGGTGTGAACAAAGCAGGGTGTTGAACACAGGCCTCCCATTCCTGAATTAGCACCCAGGCCAGGCACCACTGCTCCTCTCAACTTTGTTCTGCCTCCCATAAGCCGAATTAAGGTGCACAGAAGATGTTTCAAAGTAAAATCTACTCTCCATAGCCTTCAGTAATAACCCAACTCTGCTCTTCCCTCCCAAGTTGCCACACTGACACCACCGGGCCAAACCCGCTCCATGTGAGCGAGCTCCACTCTGCTGCAGTCCCAGCTGGACACAAAGTTGACTTCATGGAAAGAGCACAGAAGGGGTTTAAAGAAAGCCAAGGACAAAAGCATATTAAAAGTGCTAAAGAGAAAGCAAGCAATCCCATATCACAGTGGTTAAACCCTGGCATTGGGGATGCAATTCCCTATTAATGCAACCACACGCTCTGCTTTGTGAGGCAAGTTCATAAACCAGAGGCTTCAAAGGAGCTTCAATCTCCTCTGCCAGGGAGAAATGGCTTGAACTTCCATTTAGATGCTGAACTGCCTTAGCAAATTGCTCTTACTGCCCACAATTACAGTCATTTGGGTGACAGTCACCTGCTGCTCCTAATCCATTTAGCACCAAAGAGGCAGGAAAAGCAGACAGGAAAGTCCCAACTGGAAAACACTGCAATCAGTTAAAGATTGTCCCCAGTTCCAGGATTCAACAGCTCTGGTTTTATGAGGTAATATTACACCATGTATTTTGTAAACTGAGAGCCACTAAATTCTTCATTTGGTGATTGTTAATTTGTAACACTCTGAACTTTAAGCTCAGCATTAGCAACTGATGCAAGCACAGACTCATCAAAAGGGACATTAAGTGCAGCAATGACCCACGGGGAGCTGACAACTGAAGGAGGAAGGTCCTTCACCATTCCAGACAGCCCTGTAGCTGGAGATCTCTTTCAAGAGACTTCTGCTACTCCAATCAGGCAAGAGATCCTACCATCTTCTGCAACAGAGATCAGGGCTAAATGATCTTCTGCTAAGAGCTTCAGTGAGCAGACTGTGGAAATCTGTGCCCTGAATCTATCACTGCCTAAATACTGATCTAAATTCTTCTGAAGCTTTCAAAAGAGCAAGACTCAACAGCAGCCTGCAACCATTTAGAAAGGAAAGCCACACTTCTCATTTCAGTTCTTTCAGGCCAGAAACACACACACAACTACCATGTGCTGGCCCATGACAGTAACCAACGATTTGCCAGCTGCTTCCCCAGGCAAGGAAGTCAGTGGTTGGTACTCAGAGCATTTGCAGAGGTTGGGGTGGTGCAAAGACAAGCTCCTGCTATTCTGAAGAAAAAGCAGCCCTCTGGCCCTCACCTAGTGTCTTAGGGGAAAGTACCAGCAGCTGTGAGAAGCCCTTGTGCCCCACCCACAGCTAACAGTGTAACCCATTTAGAGGCAAGATGTAGCAAACAACTGAAAAGTGTCAGCTTTGAACATCGCAAAAATCAGGGGGCAAAAAAATGGAAGGATTTTTTTTTTTGTTATCAAAGTGCTAAAGAACGTAACTTTGCTTTCACTCTGGTAGCAGCAGAAAATGGCCCTCCAGACCTCACTGCAAACCTTGTTTGGCTCTGCAACCCACTGATACAATGACCTCTGTAAACAAAACATGCATTAGCCTTGGTGTTTGCAGGATTAGTCTCACTGTCACCCAGGCTCCAGCTTTCGAATATTTCATCAAAAACTGGTAGAAATTTCTTGTGGTTCCTCTGCAGTTTCCCAAGGTAAATAGTCAGCACTGAGCAGTACAAAGGACACTAGAAAAGCAACTGGTGCAGAAAACCGTGCCTCTTAGTTATAGCTATTAAAAAATTTATAAAGATACTGTCAAAACCACAAAATCAGCATCTTAGGAACCCTGAACAATTTCTGTTCACAGAAGGCAAACCGCTTTTTGAAGGACAGAGAAAGTTTCCCCAACCCTTACAACTAGTATTACCAATAAAAGCAAGAGCTGCACTCCTAAAGCTAATCTGTCACCACCACACAAAGTCTAGAACTCCAAAATCAGACCAACACCTGAGTAATCCTAAGCTCAAATCATAATTATCTGGGGCTTCTTTTCATAGAGACAGGTAAACAAGCAGTTCCAAGGCAGATATTTTTACTAGCTCTCTACTTTAAAGGTTCCCATACTTCACCAAAAAATTTGCACATAAAAAATTCCTTTCCACAAGTGGAAGCCTCATGTTCTGAAGTAATCCTGCAAGGCAGGCCTTCCTGTAAGTCAACCCCCTCTTTTTAAGTGACACTTCTATGCTCGTGTTAGGCCACAACACTCACCTACAACACCCAGATAGATGTGTCCATGTTTGTCAAACAAACTGATTTCAGGCAGCCCCCAGGCCCCAGGAATGCAGCTCTGCCTGTGCCATCTGATGACACGGCAGAACACAACGAGGCTTTTGTATGACAGCCCTGTGATCCTATAGCTTCAGCTGTTCTCACCTGCTAGGACATCACATTTGAATCAGGAAAAAAAACCCCAGGAAAATCGTGGACAAACAAGCTGGTGGCTAAGGAAGGCAGTGAGAACACAAAATTTCTGCCTGTAATTCTGCTACACATTTTTATCTGTCCACAGGAAGGGCTTAACCTCGCCTTTGGAGAAAGGATATGATAGACACATTCTTCAAAAGCTGCAGTGGTACAGCTCTTTGCCATTCCATCAGTCAATAAAGGGTATTCCTGCAGCCTGGACTGTGCAGGGAAATCGGGAAGCTCCTACTCATGGCTCTCCTCAGCTCAGGTAGCGAGAGCAGTGGAAGCCACAGCTCTCTGCCTCCTCCTCCAGATTCAGGCAGCGCGGGTGTTATTGCTGGGAACTGCTGCCCTCTGGTGTTGCACGAAACAGGTGAAGTTCCTGCCTGACAAAACCAGATTCACTGCTACTATAAAGAAAATGCCCCATGGTAATAACCAGTAGGTCCCAGGGCATTCAGATTTCAGGTGGGTTCACCCAGGCCCCTCAGTTCTGGTCTTATGAATTTATAAAACACCTGCCCCTTCTTTCAGCACAGCCTGAAGGGTCTCTTGCAAGCCAAGCTCAACCTAAAGCACCATTTTACCCAGCCCGCCCCCTTTGCTGCAGCTGTTTCAGAGGTAAAAGCACTCAGCTGTTAAGTCTGTTCAACAAAACACATCTTACTGCCTGCTCTTCCTCATGGATTGTGAACATCACCAGGGAAAGTGCCAGCCAACATCCTGCCCCCAGCACAGGACTTGGACCAGCCCCAAGGAATAAAACACGTTACCCTCATCCCTGCAGGACCAACGTGCTTCCCTCCTTGTCTCAACCTTCACAAAGGCAGTGCCACTGGGAAGCTCTGCCAACCAGTATAAACACTGTCCAGCTGAGGAGGCCTAAGTGAATTCACAGGCCTGTTTTGAGGTTGAGCAAAGACTGATGTCTGCATATAAGGACACTGCGCAGCTCTCGGGCAGGAAATCCTGGCCTCGTTTTCCTTGAGGTCTGTATTTACTCGTGATAAAAAAAAAAACCCAGTGTAAAGGAAAGAGAAGACCCACTGTTTTTCAGAGCCCAGGTCCAGCCTGCCTGCAGCACAGCAGCTCCCAGCTTGCACTGGGCCCACAGTGGACACATCACATCTGCCAACTTACTTGACTTCCTCACCAGCAAAATCGAACGTTTTGGTGATTGTCACTTTTCCTGAATCTTTTGGCTTGTCCTGAAGCTTATTGCCACTCTTCTCTTCTTCAGCCTACAAAACAAAAGGAGAAAGCAAAATAATGTGTTTGTGGAGCCAAGCAAAATTCCCATTCCATGGGGCTGAGGACCCAACCCAGACCTCAGGTAGCACTGCAATTTAGGCTGGGGGTCAAAGCAAGTCACCCACAGACAAGAAAAAGGACATAAATGCCCCTTCCACAGAATGAAATTCCCCATTTTGGTTCCAGGCTGTCATTGGAGCTCTAGAATCAAAACAGACCCAAAATAAGAAGTGAAATTGTGATAAATGGAGGAAGGAGCACTTTGCAGTGGTTCAGAAAGCAAGCAAAAAAAGACTCACTTCTCCCAAACTAAGCACCACCAGGCAGTAAAGCTGCCAGGGTGAATTCCACAAAAATATGATTATTTCTTCTCAAGAATAAAAGAAGAACACAACCCATCAGCAGGAAAAGCAAGGCTGATCTTCACACTTGTCAATAACGTCTCTAATTTGAGAAAGAAACATCTTTATTAAGCAACTTGTCAACAATGCCTCTTAATTTACTCAGCCACAGCTACAGCTTCTAAAAAAAGTAAAAAAACCTCAGACCCTATAAATAATCAAAACAAACCCCCCAAATTCTTGCTCTAAATCAACCACACACCACAGAGACCTTCAAGCAGACAATGCAAGTCCAAGTTAAGAAGTTCACAAAGAGAACAGAGAAACTGCATCTCTCCATGAATTATTCCAGGCTATGGAGGAACTTTCAAAGACCACTCACGTTTTAGCAACCTGCCCATAAAAGTAGAATTGCTCAGAGGAAAAAAAATCACTCTGCCCTTCTCTCTGATTCTACCTGTAACCACCCCAGCTGCTCAGCCAGTAACAAAGGAGACACAGGAGGGCTCAGATGAAAGGACTCTTCTTCCAAAAGTTGCAACCAAAGATAAACAACTACACTTGCCCTGCAACCTTCCAACAGTCACAGAAAGAAGCTTCACACAGAACTGTACTTGCCAGGCACAACACTTTTTTGGCAACCCCAACTGACAATTCTAGCAACAGAGGGTCAGTGTTGGTGCCTTCTTCCCTTCCACCACCTTCAGCGTGAAAGGCTTTGCAAGGCAAACACGTCCTTTTGGTTTCACTGAGAACCAAATCCTTCTGATCACACAGAGAATTCTCTCTCCAGAAAAACCTCTGCAGACCAAGAGCACCTTACTGGGGCTTATGGGGGAAGTGAGAGAAAGCCAGACTCAGTGTTGTAGCAAACATGCACCCCAACATGCAGCACCTTCCAGACCCCCCCGCTGTACGAGGATGAATGGCAAGGCAGAGATGCCAGCACAGGGCCCTTCTGTTTCCCCACTCACACTCACACACACAGAGCCTGCCTTTTTCTTTCCCTTCTGAGCATCAGGAAAGGCACAAGCCCCTGGGAGAGCTGTACCCACAAGCACAGCACAAACCAAAGCTCATGGTGCTGTTCCTGTGTCACAAGGAGAATCCAGGACCAGGAAGAAAAGCCAACAGAGCTCCGTGGGACCCTCTGAGATGCTGGAAAGCAGCTCCCAAAGCAGCACTGCCAGATCACAGACCTCCTCAGTCTGGCCCCTCATGGGGCTCCAGTCCTACAAAGCAGAGGGGCAGGGGCAAACCCAGCCTCTTCCCAGCTCTGCCTGACATCTGGTACCAGCCAGAGCCAACTGTGTGCTCTAAACCTCCAGGCCCTGCCCACACTCCCAGGCCCTCTTACCTTCTTGGCTTGTGTCCCTTGCGTGGCAGCCCCTGCTTTGGGTTTCTGTCCTACGTCACTGAGGAAACTGGCCCAAAGAGCATCCTCTTTCTTTTTTTCTTCTTCTTCTCTGCTTCTTTCCACCTGCTCTACATTATCCACTTCCTCCTCTCCATTCTGCTGAGCCTTTTCTTCCTCTTTCTCGTCTGGCTCTAGCAAGAGACCTCCTTTCTTCCTCTTCCTGAAAGCAGACACCAAAAAAAAAAATATATACTGAAGTGCTGCAACACTATTCCAGAGCTGAACTCTAATCTTGAGTGAACCAACATGGTATTTCACATTCCCACTAAGATATTCAATGTGGGAAGTCCCCTCTAACCTGGGGGGGTGAAGGTATCTAATTAAAAGATGTTGCTGCTTAGAAAACACAGTGAGACTGATGCAGGCAGTGCCCCTGAAGTGAACTGGCACATGTGTGGGTGTGTCTGTGGGTACACGATGTGGGGAGGCCGTGGCACAGGTTGCCCAGAGAAGCTGTGGCTGTCTCCGGATCCCTGGAAGTGTCCAAGGCCAGGTTGGACGGGGTTTGGAGCAATCTGGGATAGGGGAAGGTGTCCCTGCCCGTGGCAGGGAGTGGAACGAGATGGGCTTTAACGTCCCTTCCAACCCAAACCATTCCAGGGTTCTGTGGTTCTGGGATACTGGAGGAACCAGGAGGGAAGAGGACTTGGGCTGGACTGAAACCAACCTCAAATAACCTCAAAAAACACGGGGTTTTCTCCCATTGACGGGTGCTTTGCACTTAAAAAGGCTTACGAAAGGGGAAGCAGCTATTGCCGGGGAGGGTTTTCAGGCACGGTCTGTCAGGCCTGAGGCTGCTCCTGACGCCGAACCGGAGCGAGGAGCAGCGTTCCCCGTTCCCCCGCCCCTCAGCGGCTCCGGGCCGGGTCCCCGCGGCCGTACCTGCCGGGGGGGTGGCGGGGGCTCCTCCTGCCACGGGGCGGCCGCGGGCTGTCCGCCGGCTCCTCCTCCCGCACCAGCTCGCTCTCGTCGTCCTCGCTGTACTCCGCACCTGCAAGCGCAGCCACTAAGCACCGGCACCGCCGGCACCGCCGGGGCCGCCGGCCCCCGCCCGCCACCGCTCACCTGAGGGCACGTAGTCGTCGTCCTCGGCCGAGGAGTACTGCTCCTGGTCCTGCTCCGACTCCGACCCCGACATGGTGCGGCCCCGGCCCCGCCGCCTCAGGCACCTCCCGCCGCCACCGCCTCGCGCGCGCTCACTGCCGCCCAGAGCGCCGCCACCACCCGCGGGCGCCCCCTGGCGGGCGGGAAGAACGATTGCGCCTCCCAGGAGGCGCCGCCGTGCGCGGGGAGCAGCGACGAGAGTCCGCCAGCGGGCCAGAGCGTCCTGCCAATCCCAGCATTCCCTGCGGCCCACAGCCGTTCCCATGGCAGCGCGGAGGAGGGCGGGGCCCGACCGCGCGGAGGCGAGCGGCGGTTGGTGGAAAGCCCTGCCCGTCACCTTGCGGCGCTTCCCATTGGCTGCGGCGGGCGGAAGGGGGCGGGCGGAAGGGGCGGTGGCGGATGGCGGCGGGGCGGGCGCGGGGATGGAGGGTGGCGATGCGGGCGGCGGGGGCCTCCTGCAGCAGATCCTCAGCCTCCGCCTCGTGCCCCGCGTGGGCAATGGCACCACCACCTACTCCAGCCCGCTCTCCACCTTCCCAGGTACCTCCCCGCGTCGGGGCCTGCTCGGGGTGGGGCCCTCCCGCCGGCGCCACCGGCAGCCCGCGGGCCCCGGGCCGCCCTCACAGCCCTTCTCCCCACAGAGATGTGGTACGGCGTCTTCCTGTGGGCCGTCGTCTCCTCCCTCGCCTTCCACGTCCCGGCCGCTCTACTCGCGCTGTTCACGCTGCGGCACCACAAGTACGGCCGGTTCATGTCCGTGAGCGTCCTGCTGATGGGCATCGTGGGACCCATCACCGCCGGCACCCTCACAAGTACGGCAGGCGTCCGGCGCGATCGGGGGGCTCTGTGGCGATCAGGGATCGCCTCCGCGGGCGCGCGGGACCGCGGCGTTCCCCGGCGTGGAGATGAACGCTCTGGCTCTGGTCCCCCCTTACCCCACGTTTGACCCTGTTCCCTGCCCCGGTTCCATATCCCGAGGCTTCCCGTCCATCCCTGTGGCGCAGCAGCGTGTACCACATTCACATCTTGGCTTTTCACCTCCTCGCAGGCGCTGCCTTTGCTGGAGTTTACAGAGCTGCGGGGAAAAAGATGATCCCCTTCGAGGCCCTCATTTTCGGTGTGGGGCAGACCTTCTGCGTGGTGGTGGTGTCGTTCCTGCGCATTCTGGCCACGCTGTAGCTCCCCCTGGGGAGGCTGGAGGACACAAACCGGAGTGGGGGTGAAGGACCTGGCACCTGCTCTGCCTCTGGAACAAATCCCAGGGAGCACAACTCGGGGCTTGTGCTTCCTCCACTGATTTAAGGAATTGTGAGGGCCTGCTCCTGCCTCTAGCGTGGATTGGAATTAAGCTGAAAATTGTGAATTTTGTTACTTTTTGGTAACATTAAGTGCCAAGTGAAACTTATTTCTCTGGAGGGTAGGAAGATGGCTTCTGGAGGGGAAGGCCCACATACCTTTTAGCAGTGATGAATTGTAGCCACGGGACATAACTGAGATGTGACACTGGCTGTGCTGGAGTGGGAGCAGGACCACAGAGTGACACGGTGTGCTCAAAGCTCACTTAGTGCTTTGACCTGCTGTTGCTTTGTTCTCAGTGAACCTGAAGCTCTTTTAATGTGAATTTTCTTTAGATTAAAAAATTAATTTGTTTTCTTCCCAGCCCAAACTCCTTCATACCAGGTCGTAGTCTTAGTGGATTTTGAGAGCAGCAAAAAGGAAAGCTCATTTTAGATGGATGAGGGTGCAGATTTGTGTCTGAGAGCTGTGGCTGTGAGGGCTGTGCAGGGGAAATGACCAAACACAGCCCCAAACCAACCCTTAGCGGGCAGAGCGGTCTCCTCATGGACTGTTTTAGTTTGCTTTGGCTTTAAGTGACTTTTTACTTAACTGGTGGCTCTGCTCTTGTACCCAGTTGTGCCACGTGGCTGGGGCAGCTCAGGTGCTTCCCAAGGGCTTGGTTCTCCGGGGAAGCTGGGGTTGAACCCCAGGGATGTGGGGTGGTGTGGGCAGCCCCAGGGGTTTGCTGTGGTCCTTGTTTGTTTGTTCCCAGCTGCAGAGGGAAGACACCATCTGCATCCAGCCTTGTGGGACACATTTCCTTTTTGTGTCTTTGCTGAACTCCTTTGGTCTCCAAACCAGCTCCCTCCCTAAGGCCACTGACCCTCCATGAGCCCGTGTCCTCTGTGCAAAACAACTGGACGTGGCACTTGGTGCCATGGTCGAGTTGACAAGGGGGTGATTGCTCAGAGGTTGGACTCGATGATCCTAGAGGGCTTCTCCAAACTAAATGACTCTGTGATCCCTCAACAAGGCACTGTGTTTATCATGGGAAAGGATTTCTCTCTGCATCAACTTCTCCTGAGTGGTCTGTTGCTGGCAAGAGGTGTTTTGCAGGAGCTACTTACTGAGGTTAAATTTTAGCCCAATTCAGGGTATAAAGCTGTGCATTTTAGGAAAGAGTTTAATGTGAATCCTTCTCCTTAGGTGGGTGAGGTCCAAGTGGTGTTACTTGCACTGAACCCTGGATCTGGGGAGTGCCCCGTGTGCCCTGTTGTTTGTAGAGAGCCAGGACAGCCCTGGGGGGAGGTTGGGCCTCTCCTGCCCTCTTTGGGGACAGAAGCAATGAAAAAGCAGGAACAGTGATCTCTCTACTGTCTTTCCCCCTTACAACTTCTTAGCACATGTCTGGAGTGCCTGGTTTAATTCACAGGAATTACCCTGAGTCTTCCTGGATGGATTGAAAGTCTCATGGGAGTTGGATTGGGTGGGTCTGGCCTTACCTTTCAGATGATGCCAGAAACCCGTGTCCAGGCACCCGCTGTGCTCCCCTTTCCCCCGCCCCAGTGCCTGGCATCCCTCAGTAGCCACTAAGCTGATTGCAACTGGGAAAGCACTTTATCCATGCCCTGTGTTCCAGCACAAGGATGGTTCCTCTGCAGGAATGGGGCTGAGGAATGCAGGACACAAATGGGGCTGCTACAGAGCTCAGAACAAACGAAACATTGCTCAGTAAAATCACTCAGTGCTGGGCAAACTGAAAAACTCCCGTTCTCTACCCATTCAGGTCTCCCAAACTCTTGCTTTGAGGTGGTTCTGGTTTACTTGGAGAACTGGCAGCTTGACTGCTGTTTGGATGTGGAGCGGTTGGAGCTGGTGGTGCCTCTCTGTGCCCAGACACTGAGAAATTTTTAGGGAATTCTCACATAAAAGGCGAACAATCAGTTTCTGATTTGTCTTGACAGGTATTAGTGTTGAGGGCAAGTTCTTTGTGTCATCTTGGTGCTCACAGAGCATCCTCCACTCCCCCAGCTGCCTTCCCAACCTCCCTCTCCAGTAAAACCAGATCCAAACAGGAAGGAGGAATAGCCTTGAGTCGAAGCCCCAGGTCAGTCACTGAAGGCAGTTTCCTCCCCTCTCACTGGTTTGGCCTTCCTTTTCCATTCCTTTATCCCAGGGGAGGTGTGTGGAGGAATCCCTTCCATTTTCAGCAGGTAGTGGTAGACTTTGCTCAGTCAGACTTGCCAAAAGCTGCAAAGAGCCTGCAAAAATGTCAACGCCGAGGTGTCCCAGGCGGGGCAGCTGGGAGGCCCTGCCAGGGAGCCCAGCCAGTGCATTGGTCAAGGAAACACCTTCCAGGGAAGCTGCCTGTCCTGGAGGAGCCCTTGGCTCATGTGGGAGCTCACGGCCCTGCTCTCTGTGTGCAGCTTCCCCCTTGCTCTCACCCGGCTTCCTGTCTTGCTCGCGACCGTGGCTGTCATGAACAAATCTTTATATGATCGAAAATTCTGTAAATTTTATTTTTCTACTGACACTTCTAATCCTGGTGGTGATTATCAGTAAATTCTGTAACTATTGAAGTGAACGATGTCATGTGTTTCTCCTGCAATGTGACAAAGGGGCCTGGGTTGTGTCTTTGGAAATGGGCCTCGCTCCTACCTCGCTCGGAGCAGGTTTCTCTTGTCAGGGGCCATCTGCACCAGGAAATGTCTCAATTCTGGTGGTTAATGATGTCTCCATTAGGAGCTGGACCTGGGCCTGCAGCCAGGCACCACAGCCTGAGGTGACATCTCGCTCCTGCTCAGCTGTTGGGGTAGGCTCAGCTGTCATCCCTGTCCCCAAAGGGACCTGCAGGGTCCCTGCAGCCCCTGAGCTTGGTGCTGACCTGCTCCCGGCCCCTGGGGCTGTCCCCCATGAGATGAGATGAGTGCTCAGAGATCAGAACTGGCCTGAAAAACTCACAGCTGAGTCGGGGGGGATCCAGGAGGTTTTATTGGCAGTAAAAGGTCAGCACGTTCTCTTGGTTTCCTCGGGTGAGGATGACGGGGGGTCTCAGGTCCTGCGAGAGGGTCTCGAGCCAGGCCATGTAGAGGGCGCTGGGGCAGCGGCCCTTCCTGCCGATGGGCGGGGTGCTGCGGCACAGGGGGGCTGCTGAGGCACGGCCACAGCCCTCGCCCCCTCCACTGCAGGCTACTTCCCTAGAAGGGGGCAGCACCGCGTCCTCCCCCCCGATAGGACCCGGGCCAGACCCCTTGGTGCCTTCCAAGGGCTTTTCCCTGTGTTGTGGCACCATCCCACCACAGCATTAGGGTGTCTGTCCGGGATTTCCCCCCCAGGAAGGGGGGAAGGAACGGGCATGAGGGTGTTGCTGGCACCTACATGGCTATGAGTGCTGCATCCCGTGAGTAATCCAGCAAAATCTCGTTCAGCCTCACTTGTCGGAGCGACTGCCGAGCGAAGAGAGTTGACAAACCCAAAATTAAGGTTTCCAAAAAGACCAAATTTTGTCTAAAAAGCAGGAGACCCTTTGCAGGACCCCCCCCCAGGACTGGTGCTACCTTGGCTCTGTTTTTATCAACCTCCTCATCAGAAATCTTCCAGGGACAGCCCTGCCTCATCTCATTCACTGTGGCCTCGTCCTTGAAGCCGTCGTTGAGCCTGAAGGGAGCGATCAGGTCCTCGAACCTCTTGATGCTGCAAGACAAGCAGATGGTGACTGGGAAGAGGGGCTGGGCAGGACTGGGGAGGCAGGGGGAAGGGGAATGGGGCCGTTACTGCTCTGGCCGGGGTTTCTGGTTGATGTCAGGGAGGATGTGGACTTCGTGGAAGCCAAGGCGGAACTTGCTCAGCAGAGAGACAATCCTGCCAGAGGGAAAAGGACACATTTTCCCAAAATTAGCAGGGAATGGCAGCTCTGGCAGGGACTTGCTGTGGCAGAAAGCCCTGCCATCGGCCTTGGTTTGCACTTGAGGTTTTCCCACTCAGCAGCCACACTGATTTTCAAAGGAATGAGGAAAAGCAGCCCAGTCAGAGCTCACAGATCCCGTGGGACGCAGAGCGGGAGGGAGGCAGCTCCTGCCACCACCCTGGGGACAGTGGCAGCGGTCAAGGGGCTAAGAGGGGCTGTGGGGCCATCAGCACTTACGCCTTCCTCTCCTCATCCATCCTGTTGATCTGCCCACCGACGAACACCCGGATTTTGCACTTCCCCCACCGCTTCTTGCGCCCCAGGAGGTACGGGATGAGCAGCGTGAGACCTGTCCCAAAACATCCCATGGGAGACGTGGCAGTAACCCCCAGGCTCAAGAGTGCCTTCTTGATGCCGAATGCCAGGGATGCCCCGGCACCACTGGGCAAGGAGAGAGCCCTCCTGGGCACCACGATGGAGGTGCTGGGCTCACGTTATCTGGACAGATGGGCAGCAAAGAGCCACAGCAGCCCAAGGGGAAGGATACCTCCGTCGTCGAAGAGCCAGTAAATGTCGATGGTCTTCTTGCCCTGCTCACTCTGGAAGATGGTGCTCGCCTGCTGCTCACCGGCCAAGGCGGTGCAGTCCACTGCCGGGGCAAGGGGGTCCCCATGTCAGTAAGGGGCACCACCGGCTGCAGATTAAAGGCACCACTTCCTCCTGGTCCCAGCCCTGCTCCCCATCACTGCTTGAAACCCACGCCCCTCCCTGCTAACCTGGCTCCCTGAAAAAAATCCTCAGAGCTGGGAATGCTCCAGATGGCCCAGAGCCAGGACAAACCTACTTGTGCTTGGGGCTGCTCTGCTGGCAGTGCCGTTCTCGGGGTGCTCCGCTGCCTCGAACGTGGGGTTAACTGAGGAGGGAGGGGAAGAGCACAGGCAGCACCTCACTGTCCCAGTCCCCTTTGATCCCCCCCAGGACTGTGAGATGGTGTGGGGACATGGTGCTGGCTGGCACAACTCCGCTGAGCACCCCAAAATCACTTACCATGTGCCTGCAGCACTCGGGAAACATTCAGCCCTTCCTTCATCCTCATTAAGCACACGCCGTACTTGAAATCAAAGGCGTCACTGGAAGGAGGGAGGAGGAGGCAGTTAACAGGGGCAGCAGTGCCAGCCCGGCCAGACCCTGCACATGTGGCTGCAGCGTCCCCGACAGCAGCCACGGGGCCACCACCAGGTGCTGGTGTCCCCGGGAGGAGCCGGCGTGGCCGTACTGCAGGATGCCCACGTAGTCCTCCAGGCTCTGCGGAGACGCCGTCCGCCAGTCCCTCTTGTAGCCCAGCACTAGGATGTTGGGTCTCATCTTTCCGAGGCCGGCAGCCTATGGATAGGTGTCCCCATGAGACCCTTCTTCAGGGACAGATGGACACGAGTGGTGTCAGTCCACGGGGTGGTGACACAAAGGGGTTGACTGGAGGTTGGGAAGGGGGGTCAGAGCCCCCCGAGCTGTGATGAAAGAGGAGGCACCCTGGTGATCAACAGCCAAAGATGGCTCTACCTGGAGGAGCATTTGGACTCCGCTTCTCAGATCCTCAGCCACCACATCCGTGTAGAAAGCCTTGATCTTCCTCTTCATAAGCCACTTGGCGTGGCCATCTGCTGTCAGCCGGGACTCCGGCATCTTCTGCTTCCGTGGGCCCTGCAGGAAGCAGGGGCAGGGGCTCAGGCAGCCCCTCACAGCTTGTGGTCTTGCCACCAAGGACCTCTAGCTCCTCTCTCCCCAAATCATTGGTAAGAGGTGGATGTAACCACTGCACATGTGGGAGGTTGCAATCATGGCAAAAAAAGCAGTGAATCCAGTGAGTGGACAGCCAGTGCACACGGTGCCAGCAGTCCCACGGGAATGGATGAGCTGGCTCTTACTGCACCCAATTGCTCTGGAGGTTCCGGGCTGCAGGACCCCCCATCCTCTGAGCAGCTGCCTCATCCTACCGAATCTTTGGTGATTAATTGGCAAAGGGAAGCCTTTAGCCCAGTGCTTCACCAATATTGCTTAACAACTCAGAGAGGCTTCCAGTCAACACACTCCATCATACAGCAGCACATAAGTGGGCACAGTTCAATCCCCACCCCGTGGGCCCACCAGGACACATCTGGATTTCCCAGCCCACCGTCTGTGGGTGGCCAGAGCCCCCAGGACAAGGAACCAGCTGGTTTCTGCAGGTGACTCACAATCAGCACGTTGCCACAGAGCATCAGGCTGAGGTTCTTGGTGAAGGTCCCCACAAAGTCCACCAGGGCTGGGCGGAAGTTGGGCGGGCCGGTCAGCACCAGGCACTGCGGTCTGTGGACAGGAGGGAAAGGGAGTGAGGGATGGTGCTTTGGAGGCAGCTCTCTGGAATGATCTGCAGCTCTCCTCCCATGCCAGGCCAGTGGCAACTACAGGGAGCATCTTTAGGATGAGAAAAAAATCATATGGCTGAGGATCCAGTCTCACTCTTTGGTCTCATCTGATATAAAAAGACCAGTGTGTCTGCATCTGCCTGGTACAGGGAGGGCAGGGTTTGCTCAGCTTTCCACCTCTGCTGACACGGCACAGACATGGGATTTTGGAGACAGACACATTTTGCTATAGCTCCTGGTTACTGAGGGTGGTGGTGAGGATGTGGCCACGGGCACAAAGCCATCCTGGGTTTACTGGGTGTGGTGGCTGGCTCTGCATCCCCCTCCCTCCCTGCCCAGCACTGAGCTGCCCTTGCCTGTAGTTCTTGATGTGCTCGTCCACTTCGCTCAGCCCCACCGAGTAGTTGAGGGCCATGTTGTAGGAGCTGGCTTGCATGGAGGAGCCCCAGTTGACATCTGCACGGGGAAGATGGATTAGCAACGGGCCCGGACACCTCCTGGGGCGTCGCTGTGCGGGGGCACTGCCACACACCTGGCTTTTTGTAGAGGACGTATCCCAGGAGGAAGACGACGATGCCAAAGGCGATGAGGGCCGCCCACCAGGTCAGCAGGAACATGATCACCACCGAGACGGCGGCCCCGAAGAGCGCGGCCCACTTGCTGTAATACCGAAAGGAGGGTCGCCAGCCTGCACGCAAACACACAGAGCGGCCGCTGCCGCCACGGCACCGCACCGAGCCACCGGCCACGGGGCACGGCCTGGCCTGGCACTGCCCACCTGGGGAGTTGGTGATGGAGGCGTGGAAGCAGCTGAAGTTGATGAGGGCGTAGGAGCAGAGGAAGAAGTTGGAGATGATGGGGGCGATGGCGTTGAGCTCAGCTGTGGGAGCAGGAGGAGCTGTCAGTGGCAGGGACAGAGCCACTGGCTGGTGCCAGGTTCCAGCAGGGTGCCAGGGTGGCAAGTACCCACCGATGAGGATGAAGCCAATGGCAATGACATAGGTGAGCATGTAGCCACGGAGGGGCTCACTGTTCCTCCCGTAGCCCTTCCCAAAGAAACCAATGAGTGGGTAGAGCTGGTCCTTGCAGAGACACTGCGGGGAGAGACACACAGGGGACGGTGAGCTTCTCTGGAACATGGGATGGCAGCATCCCCTTCACCCTGGGGCTGCTCACAGCTGCAGAGCTCTGCACCCAGGAGCATTACCCACTGCCAGGCTTGGGGACAGGAGCTGGGGGATGTGGACACACCGCCCTCTCACCTGGAAGACTTTGGGGGCTGAGACAAGGCAGGCCAGTGCCGAGGAGAGGGTAGCACCAAAGATCCCTGCTGTGATGAGGGGCCCAAATCCAGACACCATGCTCATGCTCTGCGTGAAAATCAGGGGGTCAGGAACCCTGGCACCCCTGCTAACCAACCTCCCCCCCAGCCCTGAGGGATTTCCAGCCCCCAGGCTGGCACCCTGCCACCCTCAGTGCTTTTCCATCCACATTATCCAGGCGGCAAAGTCCAGCCATGTCCACAATCCCGAAGAAGACGCTCCCTGGTGCATCCCTGTTACACGGGTGCTTTAACAGCACGCGTGCCCCCCCGATGCCAGGCACACGGCTGCCCTGGGAGATCCATCCATTGCAGCACAAACCCAGCCAGGAGCAGGAGCTGGGCTGGTGGTGGTGCTGAGCAGCACCTGGTAGTAGTTGCTGAGCCCGTATCGGCAGCTCTGGCGCTGGGCACAGGCGGTGAAGTTCCAGCCGTAGCCGCAGGCCAGGCCCTCACAGCCCAGAGACCCCACGGCCACGCTGTCGTTCAGGCTGCCCGAGGCGTCTCGGACCACGCAGGCACCTGGGGGGACACACAGTGCTAGAGCAGGGCTGGCATCTCTCCATGGTTTCACACAGCCCAGCCTCACATCCCATTTCCTGGGACAACCCCCGAGTCCCTGCCACGGGGCTGCCCCACTGCACGATGGCTGTGAGCAATGCCATGAGCTCTGTCACCCACCCAGGGTGACTTTGCCCCACGTGGAGGCACAACAATGTCTGGCACCCATGGCACCCACCCCAGGGTATCAGTGCCAGTGCCTGCAGCTTGCTCCTGGCTCCCACCCAGCTGCATCCTCCCAGGTCACCCATTTTGGGGGAGGGCGAGCCCATACACCCAGCTCACCTGAGGACATACTGCTTACCAATCGTAGCAGAAAGCACCAGGTAGGACACAGTGGTCCAGAAAATGGCCATCAAGGTGCCCTTGGGGATGGCCACGGCAGGATCCTGCCCAAGGGAATCACAGAGATATGTAAGGCAGCTTTCCAGCAGCACCACTGATGTGGCATTTTATTTGTGGCTGCTACACAAGAGAAATTGTAATTCACTGCATCACAAAGCCACAGAGCAACTCCTGGCTGAGCTTCCCCTAAAGTTTACAGATGAAATAAAACAGAGTCTAATGGTTGGATCAAAATGAAAGCCCTGGGGAAAACAGGGCTTGAGCCCTGAGAAATGCCAGCCCTGGTCACAACCCACCTTCAGGTCACCTGAAATGTTGGCCCCAGCCAGGATACCGGTTGCTGATGGGAAGAAAATGGAAAACAAGCCAAAGAAGGAGCCATCAGGCCCACGCCAGTTGGGCACGAAGTTCTGGGCAAAGATATCAGCTGGGGAGGAAGCAGAGAAGAAGCATTTTGGGTCTCCCAGTTGCTTTAATCCTGGCTGAAGCACCTCAGCACTGGATGGAGGCACAGCACTGACGGCAGGGAACCCATGGGAGGGGACACAGCTCAGCAAGGAGCACCTTCCCAGAGCAAACATCTCCCCCAGCAACAGCAAACAGCTGGGCTCCAGTGATGCCCTTGGACCCGCCGAGCACAACCCCAGCCCGCGGCGGACCCACCTCGGTAGCTGAAGAAACCCTTTGATTGCTTCTCGGCGGTGGCCGGGATCACTGTCCCCACCAGGTAGTTTATGAAAGAAACCAAGATGACCAGGAAGAACAGTATCTGTGCCTGCCAGACCAGAAAGAGCCAGCTGAGGAGTTGGGGGACAGGGCACAGAGGGAGTGAAGGATGCATTAGGAGGAACCCTCACCCGTTTTGGGGAGCTACAGGCATCCTCCACTCCTCGGATGCCTGGTGGGCAGCAGGGACAGCTCTTATCAGCCCAAGGGAATAACGTGAGCAGAAGTGAGGGTTACCTTGGCCTCCCACTCCATGCCAGCCAGGGAGATGCCCAGCAGCACCGTCACAGTGATGACCCCAATGATGCGGATGTCGTTGGTGGGGTCCACAATGAGGGAGTTGTACTCCTGGGGAGGGGGAACCATTCACAACGTGGAAATAACCCTCCCCTTTACTGAACCACTGGGATTTCCATGAGTTTTAGCAGCTGCTGTTTGATTATCAGTGGTCCAATACTAACACAAATGTTAATTAGTGCAGCTTGTGCAAGGAGAAGGTGAGGATGGAGCAAAGGAGGAATGTGGGACCCCGAGGCAGTTCCTTACCTGCAGCAGGTCCCGGACAGTTTCAGCAAAGCCCACAGTGTGCATGGCCACGGCCACCGCGTTTGCAAAGGCAAAGATCAGCCCGATGGAGCCGCCCAGCTCCGGCCCAAGGCTCCGTGAGATGAGGAAGTAGGTGCCTCCTGAGGCAGTGGGAGCACCCCGTGGCATTACTGCCTCCCCCACAGGTTTTTGGGGACCCCCCTGCACCTCGCAGCCCGTGCCAGGAGTTCACATCCATGGGGCAGCCCCAGGGTGAAGGAGACCCCCAGGGTGGCTAGGAGGGAACACACTACCTGACTTCACTTTGCCATTGGTGGATATGGCAGAGATGGACAAGCCAGTTATTGTGGTCACTGTCACGGACATCAGGATGATGAGCCACGTCAGGGCTGTGGGGAGAGGGCACTGCTTCAATCCTGCATCCCCCCAGTCCCACAGACCACTCTGCCTTCCCTACGAGACCCACAAGGACCCTACACATCACCCCACGCTCGATGCCACACCATTCCCCCCCCAGGTGTTTGGGTGGTGGTGAGCCCAGTGCCCCCCCCAGCTCCCAAGGAACTACAGCACCCACCGATTCCTGCCTGGGCAGTGATCCAGGGCAAGCGCAAGTAGAGGATGACTCCCCAGATATTCAGCATGCAGCGAATCTGGGGGGACAGAGAAGAGTGCTGGCCATCAGGGCACGGGCACCTGGGCATGGCCAGGCCACGCCAGCTCTGCTGTGCCTGAGAGAAAACCACCCTGCTGAGGAGGGCAGGGAATTGCTCACAGTGCAGGCACTTGCAAAAAATACAGATACTGGGAAAAATGCAACAAGGGGCAAATGCTTGGGGGTGTGGGGGCAGGAGGATGCTCCGTGTGGGATGAGTCACTCACCATGACGCCCTTCACCCATCCAAAGCGGACGGGTTCCTGCTCGGAGGCTCTGTCTGGCTCCCCTTCTGCCTCCTCCAGCCCAGGCTCCGGCCCAGCCTCGGGCAGGCCATTGCTCCACTGTGGGTCACACACGGGGTGGAGGCGGCCCGGGTCAGGCTGTGGGGTGAGGGGAAGGCAGGTGAGGGTTGGCAGCAGCCAGGCATCCCTGGAGGGAACACTCTGGCTGTGTACATAGCTGGAAACAGCTGGGTTCCCCCTCCAGCTTCTCCCAGGGCCTTTCCAGGGCACAGCATCAGTCACGGCCCCAAGAGGCAGGAGACAGAGTGACACACCACAGACACATCGCAGGGCCCGGCGGCACGGCCAGGGGATGCCGGAGATGCCACAGGCACAGCCGAGCCCCCGTTACCTTGAGGATGGAGTGCAGGTCGGCCAGCGTGGGCCTGCCCTTCCTGGGGTCGCCCACCCCCTTGCTGTTGGCGTAGTGCTCGTAGGCGGGCACCACGTCCACCGTGTTGTAGCCGAAGGTCCTGGTGCAGAGGGTGCTGCCGCAGAGGGAGGGCTGGGCGCTGTCACAGCCGGGCCCCTCGGCGGGGGCGAAGGGACCCCGGGCCCCCTCCTCCATGGCCAGGAGGGTGCTGATGGTGAAGCGGCCGCTGCAGCGGGCCGGGGGCAGGTCTGGGGTGGGCAGCTCGGCCATGGCCCCTGCCCAGGTGGCTGCCAGGTGGGGGACGGGGCGTGGAGAGGGGCTCGCCCGCTTTATACCCCGCAAAACCGGAGCGAGGCGACCGGCACACACCCACCACTGATGCTAATGGAGGAAAGGAGTCGGCTCGAACCACCCCGAGCTGGTCAGGAGGAAAAAAAATAGCTGGAAGGGACACCAAAACCACCGTAATGGGCATCAGTGCCTCCCAGCACTCGATGGGGGCAGCGATAACAGATTTGAGATTAAGTCCCAAGGACAGATCGGCAGAGAAACAGGCGTTGAGTTTGCCTCTGGCCCCGACCCGGGAACATTCAGTTCCCACAGGGATTTATTATGGAAAAAGGGAGCAAGACTCCCACGCACCCTCGCCCTTCCCTGGGATACTGCCCCAGCCCCGTCAGATCCCGTAAATCATCCTGGCTGGGCTCCAAGCTGCTGCCTGTGGCACTGAGCTGGGCCGGATGCGGGACGGGAACGGCCCCTTTATCTCCTAGTGAAACCAGGGAAAGGGGGGAGTGTGACATCAAGGGATGTGAGATCTGCCCCTGCTGGGACTCAGCTGCCAGGGGGCTGGAGAGGCCAGGGGACACCGACAGTGGCAGACAGTCTGTCTGTGCTTGCCCAGGGCTGGGAGCTGGCAGCTCTGCCGTGCTGGGCAGCACAGACACCCACGGACCCAGAGCCCCCTTCCCCTCCCGATCCAGGGAGGGGACACTACTGAGCTACCACCCAAGGTTCAGAACTCTCCCAGTCCCATCCCTGATTTAATAAGCCACTTAAACACTCGCCCACATCACACAAAACATGAACTGGGGCCCTGAGGCCGCTCAGCGTTCACCCCACAGCCCCAGCAGGCGAGGACAGGGGGAGGGATGGGCACCTCTTACACCTCTGCAGCCCCTGTCACATGTGCCTCAAAAGCAGTTACAGATAAGATCAGCAGAGACAGCAAACAAGGCCAGCAATAAAATTCGAGGGCAGCCCATTTGAATTTCAGCTTGGTGTGGCTTTGCAAGTTAATGGAAAATTGGGCCTGCCCCCCCTTCTGCCTCTGGCTGTGTTTGCATTCACACACAGATTTTAACCTGCTTTTTGAGGACTTGCTCCAGCCCCCTTGCATTGTTTGTGCTGAGCAGATGCCAGCCACAATCACCAAGGGCCAGGGTGCACCCACTTACCCGGCAAGCTGAGGACAGGCAGCCTGGCCTGCATCCCGTGCTCGGCCCTCACGCTGCTCCAGCACCCAGTGCAGAGCTGTGCCAGTGCCCTGTGGGCAGCCAGCCTGGCCAGCAGGGACAAGGGCGAGCTGGATGAGGAAAAGTCACTCCAGCACCTTGTGCAACACCTCCCACAAAGTGGACACCAGCTCCCCCTCACAACAGACGTGGCAGCAGACTCACACCTGCGAGAAGTGGCTTTATTTTAGAACCTCGTTAGTTCATCAAGAACACTAATTTGCCCAAACCAGCACAGATCAGAGTCTCTGAAGTGGGTCAGGGATGCTCCAGAAGAGACAGGAGGGTTCCAGGACGCTGGGTGCAGAGTGAAGAGAGTGGTATGATGCAACCCTGGTGTAGTGAAATAGCCGGATTGTAGGATGCGCTTGTCGTCGGCCTGATTCACAACACCAGCTGCAGCAACAATACCAGGGCCCAACACCAGGGCTGTGCAGTGCTGGGAGCTGTGGGCAGGGGAGCAGAGCTCTGTGGCACATCCCTCCAGCCCCTCCACACACAGGGAAGAGGCTCCAAGTTGTTTCAGCAGGGCTTTCCCTCACTTCCAGCCGATCCCCCAGTTCGTTCTTGCTATTAAATGCATCAAAGGAACCCAAGCCCAGTTAAGCAGAGAATGGTGCAATGCTTTACACACAGCTTCTCTTAAAGATTGCCCAAGTGTTATATTCCAGCAGGCTTTGATGAAGTTTTAATTTCCTGTTTCCATCCCCATGGCAGAGGGAACCTACCAGACACAGGTAGGAACCTACCAGGACACACAGGCGGTGCCGGGGTCAGTGCTGCAAACCCACCTGCAGAGCAGGACCCAGTTCCTCAGCACTGCAGCAAAGGAAGCCTGGGAAGAGAAAACAGATGGTTATTCAGCCAACTGCCAGCAGCCTTTCCCAATGGGAGCAAAGGGTGCAACTCCCATCTCTTCCAGACACCACTCCCATCCTTCCAACTTCAGACCCAGAGAGAAAGCACAAAGATGCTGACACAGGGACATGAACAGTGGCAGTATTTGAGTGCTGTCCCACGCCAGGGACACACAGCTGCAATTAGCAATATCCCCTTCCTTCCTCCAGGCTGGAAGGAAAACAGCTTCCTTCCTTGAGGGGCTGGGGTCACTTTTTCTGAACACAATTCCTTCAGCTCCTGAAAGCAACCATGTCCAAGCACTGTCTTAGACAAACGCAGCAGTGATAGCAGTGGAGAACAGAGAAGTCACCTCATTTAGCAGGTCTGCTCCAGCCAGAGGGTCTGAAAAACATAACAAAACATCATGTTGAGATGCAGAATCTGCATTCAGTGGGGAAATCCAAGGCAAGGCAGAGAAGCAGGAATGTAACCCACAGGCTGTAAGCAGTACCCTGCTTACATAAAACACTTAAAAGAATTCTCAGCCTCACAGAAACGGCTGAGAAGACAGGACCCATGGACACCAGCTCCCTGACAGTGTTCAGGAGGCCCTCGAGGCACGTCTCAGCAGTGTCACACGGGTTGTCTTGCCTTAGCTCAGTCTAGTTATTACCAGGTTAACCCTGGGTAGAGCTTTAACAAATTTTTTCCCTACTGACAGGTAAGTAGGGCAGAAGTTTACAGCACATCCCCTGTAAATCCAGACTACATCACTCAGCCCTTGCTCCTGGAAGGAGGTGCAGCCTGTAGAGCTGCAGGAGCTGCTGTGCTGATACCACAGCACACGTGGATGTTTCAGAACCAAAGAGCCACGAAATCCGTGGAACACAGACCTGGAGGCTCTGCTGCACCCCCACCAGCACAGGGTCTCACAGCTCTCACAGCAAACACCTTCTTGCTTTTTCTTCCCATCTCCTCCAGCAACACAAGCTTGAGCTGCATTTGACTCAAACCAGTGAGTCACCCTTCAGATGCAGCTCATCGACCTGGAAGACCTTTCATGCCGAGGATTAGTCCTGGAGTAGGAAAAAGCAGATGGAATCAGCCTAAATTTGATCTGCAGCATTCATCTGTACTTCTTGTATAAAGAGCAGAATTGGGCTCAGATGAACATCCCCAGCTCTGCTGCACACTGTGCACTATTCTGTTGTAAGGGGAGTGCTTAGTGACACCACCTTTGAACAGGCTGTACCAGACTCAAGGTATGAGTTTAGTGACACCCCAGAAAACCCTTCCAGCAGATAAGCTATTTAGAAAACCAAGGCTAAGATTGTACATTAGCAAAATCAAAGCGTGATGGTACAAAACCTGAGGGAGCAGAACCCAGTTTTTCTGCCCAGCAGAATAAGCAGGAGGTGGAGGGAAAACAAAGACATCTGGAAAACCACGAGGGTGCCTTATTCAGCAAAGCACCAGTATGTGCATCAGCATCTACCTCAGAGCAGCAAAGCCCTTAGAGTCGTGCAGAGGAGGGCTGGGTTTGCCAGAGCCAGGCCTAGGCACAGAGCTGGAACCTGCCCCACTGGGAATGTGGGAAGATGGATGGGCTGCAATGTTCATCACCTGCACAGACCTAGGAAGAAATCAAAGGGCAATCAACAAGCAATAAATTAATTCCAAACATCTGTGGCCTCGTCTGTAATATCCACAACCCTGACTGAAACAGGGCCAGTCTTACCTTTCCAGGGTTAGTCTCAGGACTTAGATTCCCTGGGGTTTATTTCCTCTGTCTGTCCATCACAGAAGGATCACCTTGGGTTTGGAAAGCATGAAATAATTCAGAACCTGATTAGCTTAAAAGGGACCAGAGGCTAGAGTCATGATCACTGGGCACAGAGGGAGCAAACTGGGCACAGACACCAGCTTTCCCTTTCACCAGCACCCGTGAGGGCTGAGAAGCACCAGAAGCTGCTACAGCTGCCCTTGAAGGGGGGACAGAGAAAGGGCAACGTGCTGCTTACAGGAGGTCCCCAGGTTCAACACTGGACATCAGAACACGCCAGTGAGGCAGCACAACCACTCTGCTCAGCAGGGGATGGGCAAGAGACAGGACAACAAGGTCCTGCAAATGGTAATGTTAAGAGCTGAGCCCCAAAGGACCTCTGTCCCCACAGGAACAGCAGAGCAGGGACAGGGAATTCCAGTAGGGAAGGTGGCCTTCACCCTTCCCGACTCCAGCAGATGCTGTCCCTCTCCTGCTCAGGTCAGTGGTTGCCTGAGGACAGGAACAGACTTGCCAGACTCTCTGTACATGAGCTGGTTTGGTGCTGGGAGTGACCCAGGGACAGGGGCTGAACACCAGCCAGGAAAACACAGGAGCAGAGTCCTCCTGCAGGACCGTGTGTGTGGCAGCCCTGGCCCCACCAGGAATGCCCACAAGCATCAGGGATGGTGCCTGTTCTCTCAGGGACTGGATCAATTGTCAATTGAGACATGCCAAGAAGCATTCCCACACAAATATCCCAGAAATGTTAACAGCTAATACAGCTTTCCACACTCACCTGTTGACAGGGTGTTAGGCAGTTCCACCTCCCAGCCCCAAATGACTCCTTGGAGTTGGTAACTCACCAACTCCCCTGGACTCACAGGGGTTGTCCAGGTCTCTCTCAGCCTCAGGTTGGAACAATCCTGGCCATGCTGCAGGAGCACTCTGTGTCAGACACAATCCCTACCTCTATCTGCTGGGGGTCCCAGCAGCTGGGTTGCTAATGCTGAGAGACGTGGGCTGCTTCCTGTCCAAAAGGTGGACAAAATTTATGCTACAACACTTCTGGTGGAAAAAGTAATTAGGAAATTGTCATCAAGTCAGTCAACTTAGACATTGCAAAATGAGGATGAATTCTCTCCCGTGACAGCTGTTAACACACAAAGGCTGAAAGCAGCCCCTACATTTTGCTGCCTGTTCTGCATCCCAAACTGCACATGTTCTATATCCCCTAACACAGGAGGGTGAGACAGCAGCAGGGGAGCAGCACATGCACAGGGAGCAGCAAGAGTAACCACCAACATTCCTCACATTTCATTCCAAAGACAGGCAGCTATATTAAAAAAGAAAAGCTTCTACTATAACATGCTCCCTGGGCTTTCACACTTATTTAATTGTACCTTAAAACATTTAAAGGTAACCATTGTTAAAGCTCCATGCTTCAGTGGGACTCGGGTTTCCCACTAAACCAACAGTAATGTCCCCCCCACACTTGGACCTCTCTTCTCCAGGTGAACTCTCCAGGGGACCACTTGGAATGCACCTGACTGAAAACTCATGTGCTGCTCACAGAAACCTCTCCTACCAAAATATACCTGTTTGCAACCCAGGTGCTCCTGCCAAGCTTCAGCAGAGCTCCAGGATGTGCAGAGCTGAGACATCTGGGACACGGACCCGGGAGTTCACCCTTGCTGAGGACGAAGGAGCCCCTGCAGAGCTCCCCTGCACTGCAGCAACACATGCAGCACACAGGACAGGGTGATGGACTGATGGCAGCTCACGGGGTGGGTGGTGCACCAGCAACACATTTTCAACACTTAACATGCATTCAAAACCCAAAAACCCCCTAAAGGTTCCCAGCTGTATGTTCATTAAGCATTAAATCAAAGTTTTCTTCTCCACTTCCTCTTCTCTTATAAAACTGCTCGTTCATTCACCCCACTGCTGCAGAGCTATGACTTCTCCCTCTGCACAGCCCATTAACTAATTAAGAATAAATTTCTAAACGCAAAACCAATTGAAAATAAAATTAACAAAACAAAACCGTAAAACCACAAGAATCGGTGAAAATGAAAATGTCAAAAACAAATATCAAAACCAAAGAAATTTATTTCCATCAACAAAAATACAGAATACAAAATGACACTGGTCCCCAGGGGCCCTCTGAACGTACTAAGGACAGGCACAGGCTGCTGCAGCCCCGAGCCAGAGCTGCTCTGCTAATTCATAAGGATCTCCATCTGCACCAGTCTGGCGTTTGTGTCTCCTGAGGTCCTGTAGGGGATCATCCCAGCAAACATGATCAGGGCACGGGCCTGGGACTGAAGTTGCTAAAAGACAGAAAAACAAAGTGCAGTTGCTTTAGCATCAGAAAACCCACAGGAGTTAAACATTTGCCTCTTGAAACAAGCAAACGTAATCTCAGAGCTGCTCTCTGGACAACGAGCCTCTGCATTTGGAAGGAAATTCAATTATTTCCTTTTCCGACCATTAAAAGCATGTTGAGTTGCCCTTTTGCTTAAAAAATAATCCCATTTATTTGAAATTACCTAAGAAAAAACATTTTCAGCAATGTGGGGTGTTGTTGCACTGCAGCAATCTTGTAATTTCTGCATGAAGTGGGCTTTCCCAGGGCAACAGGACTCTTTCCCACCTTGCAAAATATAAAGTTGATCCTGCTGAAATTAATGCAGCATTAATGCTGCTGATCCTGCAGCATTAATGCTGTCAAAGTAGAAGTACTAGAAATAAACAGGTAGTGCCACACACACTTGGGGATCTCCAGCATCACCTACAACATACCAGTTTCCTCAAAGCAGGGGTACCAAGCACACAGAGCCCTTCCCCTGAAGGAACCAAACCCCTTCTTGCACACCAGGAGGCTGCAAAACAGCTGAGGGAATTCTGGAATAATTTGTTTCATTTGTTAAAACCCTGAGTAAATTAAAAGGAAAATCATGGCAATGCCTGGTAGAAGTCAGGAGAAGACAGAAAGCCCAAATCTTTATGGAAAACTATTTAGACTGCTTTGATTACTAACAGGGTTTTCTTCTTAAATATTAAGCATCTCAAAATTACTGTACTAGAAGATCCACTGTTCAAACCTTCCTTTCCCCTACTGACTGCAGAGAAAGCTGAAGGTGCTCAGGTTGCTGTGGGCACATGGATGGTAATTTTGACAGCAGGAACTCACACCATCCCCAGTGCCCCTCTGGCCAATTCCACCCCTTTTTCAGAACCAGTCTGTTATTCACTGGCCACAGAGAAGCTTTGGAGGCTGACACTGGACAAGCTGTGAGGGTTTTCCCAAGACTGACCCAATTGCTAAAATGTCCTGGGACAGTTTCTCTCCCTGCACTGGCTACTTAACAAGGTGGCCTGGAAATGACCTCCAGTTCCAGTCACAGTCGTATTTCCCCCAGTCTGCTTCCAAATGTGGGGTTGTATCATTATGTCTGAGTTGCTGCTTTTCAGAGGAGGTCAAAAGAGGTGGGAGATGAAAAAAAAAAAAGCCTGTCAAGGTGTCTGACTCTTTGGAATTAAAGTATTAAGAAACAAAGACTCTCACCGTGACTAAGAAGGGCTGAGGAGCAGTGCAGGTTACTGTTCCCTTTACCTTTACAGTAGCAATGACAGCTGGCCTGTTTTTAAAAATCAAAACAATACTTTGGGAAGAATGAGCAGAGGTTTGCAGAGGTTAAGAGCGGCCTGGAGGTCTAGATGTTCTATTGGCTGTAATTACTTAACGAATGTTAGAGTTACTTGCAATTTTAAATAAGAGCACAGATAATAAAAAAATAGAATTCCATTCCATTCCTGACCTAATTTTGCCACCAAGATAATGCCCTGGGGCTGCTCCAGAGAGTTCAGCACCCTGGCTCAGGGTGGGGAGCTTATGCCATTGCTGTGATGCACTCACAGCATCTGGGTCAGGGTCATCACCACAGCCACAGCTCCCAGCACTGCAGGCTGGGCTCACTGCAATCTCTGCCTAAAATCTGACAAAATGGATCAGCCCAAGTGGGACAACACTTTGCTCCCTCGTTCCCAAAACTAATTAATGTATAAACTTAAAAAAAAAAAGATTATTTAAAACACAGCTTGGGTGATTTCATCCCAAAATCAACAAAATGCATAAATGCCAGCTCTGACTTCAAACGTGATCCTTTCACTTGAAGTCCATTCCACCTCTGAAGGGTGACAGGAGATGTTTAACAGAGAGCATTACTGAGTTCAGGGGGCTCCAGTACTCCTTCTACCCATTCTGCCCTTGCTGCCAGGTCTACACTGCTCCTGCCAAAGTCCCCACTCATTGTAGCAGGATGAGCAGAGCAGTGCTTGGCACCAGAGGGCAAATTCAAGAGCTGTGTGCTCCTACTCTGGGGAGCTCCATTCCCTAATATGTGGAATAAGCCTCAGAGTTACAAATGGCTACTATCTCGTGTTTTCTTCTGATGAACAGAAGATGGATCTAGAGAAAAGCCAGGAATTTCAAAGACCTATTCAGGGAAAGGTAATTTTTCCCTTGCGTTGTGTACTGGGCAATGTGAGATTGTCAAAGCTTCTGAAAGAGCCCAATTTCCCCTAAAATTTGCTTTCCCAGAGGAAATGGAAAGCTGCCCTTCCTCCAGGGAAGTTCAGAAGACAAATTCTTGTCAAGCACAGCATGCTGAAGCTCGTGTCTGTGATCTCTGTTCAGGTGAACGAGATTTTGCTGAAGAAACACCTCCCTCCTCATGTTTGGAATGCCCTCATTTCTTTCCACCACTAAAATCACCTGAACTGCTTCCCAGACATGGGAACTGAAGCAATCCAGATTCCCTGCTCCTGCAGTCCTGGAGGAAATTCTTCAGGGTAAAAGAAAAGGGGAACATGAGCTAAAGCTGTTCTTACCCTGCCTTCCACGTGCCCATGCCTGGTATTTTTCTGCACATGCAAATCTTTAGGCAGACAGGAGCTACAGGGTGAGAGGTTTTTTCTCCTGCTAATCCTACATTAGCAGATTATGCTCCCCTGTGACACTGCAGTCACACAGCTGTTCTCTTATCCCCTTCCTGACAGCAGAGGCAGCGGGCACTTGTCCCCTCTGATGGCTGAGCACAGCTTGTACTGCACACAGAGAGCTGGGACTCAGAACCCCCCTGTCCCACAGAGAGCTGGGACTCAGAACCCCCTGTCCCCACCATCACTCACACCCTGCTGCCAGGGGATCCCACCACAACCAGAAGGTTGATTAACAAAATCTGAAGCCTGAAAAAAAGAATACTTCCAAGGGTTTTTAGCAAGGTACATCATCAGCTGATCTCCACAGATGAGTGCAGAGCATGTTTGTGAAGCAGTGCTCACCCGCTGTTGATACAACACGATGTCAAAGTGGCTCCTTCCACACAAACCTCTGCCAGCAGAGCTGCTAAACCCATCCCCAGTTGGCCAACAATGCTCATACTGAGGTGACACCTGACAGCACTGCACCCCTACAGAGATGGTAAATGCTTCTGCATGAGGCACAAGACCGAAATCAAAACCAAAACAAACAGCTCACTTGGAAAGCAAGGAACTGGTTGCTCAGTGCCAACCTTGTGAAGACACAGAGCAGGTAACACATTGCCTTAGCCTGGGACTTCACATGTGTAGAATTTAAGGTGGGAGAAGCCCAAGCAGCAGGCATCCCTCTGCAGTGCTGCCAATCTGCAGTACAAGCACTGCTGTAAGGCAGGATCCTGTAGCTCTCACAGGCTGCACCCCAAAACCAAAGATATGTCATTACTCACACCTTTCATTTTCTTATGTAATTTAAAAATGCTACTAAGGCCTTAGCAATATTGCAATTTACAGATCAAAGGCACTTTTGCAGCTGACTAAAGCCTGGAAAAAAGCTGGCTGTGCCCCAAGTTGGTTTTCACTCTCAAAAGTAGTTGATATTTATTTTCTAATCTGTTAAGACAGGATGAATGGTTTGGCCTTGGTTTCCAAGTGCCTGCAGCAGCTTTAGCTTAGTAAGAGTTACAAGACCAAACCCAATAACAGTTGAGAACCTCTCTGTTCAACCCTGCATGTTGACAGGCGAGTGCCCACAAATCTGGCTGTGCCCTTTGAATGATGCCTGTTCTGCACCTTGCAGAGGTGGAGGCTCCTGTCAGTGGGCTGGAGAAAGGCTTCTGCACCAGCTGGAGCTCTGAAGTCAAAGCCACTGTTGCCACCCATTTCCCCAGACAGCCAGACAAGCACTGCTGTTCACTCTGCTGCCGAGGCAGCAGCACAACGCTGGCAAACTGCTGCCGTTCACCATCGAGATCTTGGTGCATCCCCCAAGGACATTTGGAAAACATCAGTCCATGTCACTACAGAAGCAGGCCAAGGAGAGGAGTCAAGGAAGGCCCTTCCACCAGAAATGGGCACCTACTCAAATGAAGGGAGTGGAAATCAGGTGCTTGAAAGCACAGCTCAGTTGTCACAGCAGCAGCACCAACCAACCTAGAGACACTGCACTGCCCCCATCTGTTTTACTATTTAAGATCCCACCAAGAAGCAACTTGCTTTTTCTTGCTAGTGAAAATAAAGGGGTAATATCCCCATTAGCTCAGTGCCATTTCAAGCAGTATCATAGACTCCAAATGGTTTGGCCTGAAAGGGACCTTACAGGTCATCCAGTTCCATCCTCTCCCTACACAAAGCCAAAGGTATCAGAGACCAGCCTTGAGATAAAGTAACTGAGCAAGCTCAGTAGTCTGAGACTCTAAGTAACTGAGCAAGTCAAAAGCAAAGACCATTAGAGATTCACAGTTATGCAAAGCCCAGTCTCTTAAAAGCAGGGGAACAGGATGTAGGAAAACTCCTCAGACAGTGAGGATTACATTCTTACCGAATCTCTGTCCTCCATTACCCTCTGAGGTCTGGCAGGAGTGGTTGGGCTTGTGCCTTTCATCCTCTTATACTTGGTGAATAAAATATTCATGGTTGCAAGCAGGACCTCAGATAAGTTGTGCTTGATCTACACAAAGAAGGGGGAAAAAAAGTGAAGAGCATGTTGACAGAACCATTACCCTTGCTATGCAGAATCAGAAAGTCAAACAATGACAACGATGGCTGATATTTACTCCTGTAACAGTCATACCTGTAATGGTTACCCTGCTGTGATTGCACCATCCAGCACAAACACTGCCCAGAGCTTTCAGACAAACATGCATAATGGCTGCACCTTCACGTTTGACAGCAACAGGTCAGACAAAACCCAAAGAGCCTGAATGCAAAGAACTCTAAAGCACCCAAATGCACACAAATGCTGCCTAAAAGAGAAGTGTCATCCTCCAGTTAAAACAGTTCAAAAGCAGTAACAGCCTTCCACTGTGCTTCATCTGCTAATACACAAATCCAGAGTTCCTCTGATTTAGAGGGAACTAAACAAACACCCTGCAAATGCTTGGTGACCATTACCAGTGTGGGAGAACTAAGTCACCAGCAAGTTAAAAGTTTCCAATATTTTGAATTCTTGGATCCAACTCAGTAAGTTCAGGGAGACTCAGGCAGATGCCTTCTTCAAAATGGAGAGAGGATTTCTGGGCAGGGAATTCTAGCACTTGAAAGAGCAGCACAGAGGAGAAAGTTGTAAGCCAAGAATCTACTTGTACGAATTCAGAATAATCTCATCCTATTTCCCCGCTGAAGAATAAGCATGATGAGATGACAAGGCTTTAGGATCCTTTTAACAAAGCAGAAGGCTTTTGAAAGCTAAAGCCCAAGACAGAACTTACTTCATCGCTGAAATTCCGGAAGGCAGCAACTCTCTCCTTGACGCAATCTTGGCTAAGAGGTACGAGCTTCAGGCGTTCAATAATCTTCAAAGAGAAAAGCAGGAATCAGGGCAGATAATCAGTGTTCTATGTACCATATACTAATAAAGTGTGGTTTTGGAGCGTTAATGAAATCGTCCTGGTTTCATTCAAGAGAAGCAATTTCATTGTTAGTTATTGGTTTATCTCCTTTGTTGAGCAGCAAGAATATTTTGTTCAATGCCTATAAAACAGCCCCAGAAAGATCTTCCTGTTTATCAAGCAACAGGGAAGAAACACCTTTTTAAATTCCTACAGCGTTGCAACCCCTTCTAACTCATTAAATATAATTTTTTTAAGTGATGTTATTTGAGACATTCTGGGCTTTCAAGGGCATTAGGAAGGCCACACTTCAAACAGAACTCTTGCAACTTACATCAAAGGCCCTGTCAACGTGACCAGCGTGATATTCATCAAAAAATGTGATTAAGTCTAGCAGAAGGTAGAACGTGGAGTCAATGGATTTCTTTGCACTTATCCCCTGCGCTTTGTACCTGAAAGAAATTGTTTTACAGTTTTATTGTGCAAAATGGCAACCGTTTATAACTGTGCTCTTGCAATTCTTGGAAGCGGAGACATCAAGCACAAGGACAGAAGGCATTTAACAAAGGACAGCTTTCATTTTCCTTAACCAGGAGGCAGAATTTTCACAGGTTGTGGCTTTTTAAAAATACTTTTAATCACTTCCCCTTTTGCATCAAATCCAACATTTGTTTCCTTTTACATGTTTACACGTCCCACATTCATGGGGAAACAGTGCCAGGCAGCAGAGACCTGCAAGGCAAGCTCTGTACAAGCATATTTAACATGCTGTTTTACAGCAGACAATCCTCCAGCACAACTCCCTGCTTCAGGCAGGAAGTTAAGACCTAAAGATGGATTAAACGCTCCTGCACGCTGTCTCCAGCTCCCCTGGCTAGGGGATGAGCTGGAGGGCTGCCTGCTCTCACTGCTGCCTGCACCAGCTCACAGAGGAGCTCCTTCCTCAAGGTTTAACAGTGGTGCTGCAGAGAAGGAAGCCAAATAACCTCTTGGCCTTTCCTGCTGGGTGTCTCCCCTGTTCCAAAAGCATCCTACAAAGGCACAGGAGGAATGTTGCACCACTGCAGCCCTGTCTGCAGAGGGGTCCATGAGGAAAAGCCCTCTCTTACATTTAACTGGCAAGAAGATGCTCTAATCAGAACTGTTCTGGCTTTGAGTCACTGAGGTTTGCAGCTGTGGGTGGCATTACTGCACAGTAATATTTAGTGCTTTCAAACAGATCAAAGCAAGTAGCAAACCAAAGCCCATTACAGCCTTTGCTGAAGCTTTAACTCAAGCCATAGGTTTAATTCCCTTTAATGTCTGCCACCAAATCAGTCTCTCACTAAGTCAATAGAGCACCAATTTTCACTCAGTCTCAGTCTGGCTAAATGAGGGAAAGGTTGACTAGAAGGAGTGACTGGCAAATGGCACTTGTCAAAACAAGAAAGGGAAAGGTCTCTGATGGAAATCAATGCATGTCTGTATTTGTCTTCCAATTTCAAATGCCAGCAAGTGGGGTTGGCTTATTTTTATTCTCTCTGCAGCTGAAGGGTTGAGGAAAACCAGTGAGACATTTCTCACAGGTACCCACATTTTGCTCTAGTAAAATACAGGAATTTTCCATGGCAGCCACTGTGACAAGATACACCAAAAGAGGACGATTTTTTAAAAAAAAAATCACAAAGTTATTTTGCAATTACAGCCTTTCAGAATCAGGCTGTTCCTAACTTCCAGCTGCTAATGAATCTTGAGCACTGATGTCTCTCAAACATGTATCTAATTAGCATAGTGTATCCTAATTAGCATATGTCTATGTCTCCTAATATAGACATTGCAGGGGATATTCCTTTTGGTCACTTCCATTTCTCTCCCTTTTCTGAGTACCACACAGCACTTGGATAATCTAACAGGCTGTGGCAATGAGGTCCACTGCTTACCTTAGCATGTACACACCTCAGCTTAAACGTTCCCTTTTTAGCTTTAATTAAAGCAGCAGTGAAATAAGGTTTTCAGACAGCTGCTGAACTCGCTGCACTGTTGTTACAACTCAGAATTACTGCTTTTGTAGCTCTCTCTTAATACTATTTCAAGCAAGTGAATTGTGTGCAATGACTCTGCAACTGCAATGATATTTTGCTTTAAAAATAATATAAAACAAAGAGTTCATTATATTTATTGGTCCTTAACAGACCCTGTCTCCAGCTGGCAATCCTGACTCACCTACAGATAAAGCTTCTTGCCAAATTTACCTGACCTGCCCCAGAAAGTTTCTTTTCTGGTTTCAGTACTGCAAGCCATCACGAGCAGGACAGGGTCAATTCTGACCTCTTCTCTGTCTTTCTAAGTATATTGCTGTGGATGCCACAGTCCAGCCTGCAGAAACAACACCAGAACTAACCCCCCCCCACACTGACAGCCCTGGGCCAGGTGCAGGTGAGTCACCCAGTCCTGCCTCACCCAGTCTCACCTCTCAGCAATGGAATGGGCCATGTTCTTCAGCCGCTCCTTGTTCGACTGGGGAGTGCTGATCTGGGGAACAACTGGGCTGAGGAGCTTGTTCATCAGCTCTAAAACTTTGTCAGGGTTCTGTAGGTATTGAAGTGACACACAAATAAAAGGAGCACGATGGGACTTGGTGTTTTAATCTCATTGAAAAAGCAGAAGAGTCTCATGCAGTAGGTGCTCAGTGCAAGCTCAGGGACACTTCCCTCCCGCAAAGAGTCAAGACCATATAAGCTACAAGCAACATAATGCTGCTGGCTCATGTGAAAAAGTATTTTCCCCTAGTTTTTCTCTAAAATAGTGTCTGTGGTTGAATCCACTTTTATTTCAAATGTATTTCAAAAGGAAACACGAGTACTCACTATAAAGCTTAACTATTTTAGACTTCGGTTCAACATCTATGAAATTGGAAGAGTACACTCCAGGTAAATAACTTCACTAGACAGAATAAAATCATGCAGGAGGCAATCATTTCAAAAGATTACATTGATCAAGAACCAGAATGTCCTGAATCAGAATCCCTGGAGTGCAATCCATCCGGGTTTGCTCACTAAACCCCCTCTCATGCAGCCAATGGCTCTGCTCTAACAGCAGCAGAAATAAGCTGCTTGAATAAGGGCAATTCAATCTCTGAGATGAAATTTAACCTCCTAATCACAGAGAGAACGTTTGGAAAGAAAAACAGTGAAGCAGGTACACAGTTAAGGCAGCACACAGGAGATATTTACCTTTGCAAGGTCATAGAGTTTTGCAGCTTCTTCAAACAATCCTTTATTTTCTGCTGCAGAAGCCACTTTGTTAATAACGGATTTTGTGTCACTTGTAAACTTGTCTATCACTCCAGGCTAAAGAAGTGAGACAAAAATAAAAGGAGAGAAAAGAGAAATCAGGATGCTTAAATACTTCTGAATATTCTGTCAAGGCAATGAATATTTTATGTGTTGGCTTATGATTAGAATGGCCTGTACATTTCCATGGGAAAGTGCAAAAGTGAGACATTAAAATTAGAATGAGCTCTTGCAAGAGCGACTTTCTCCAAAACAGAGTCAGCACTGAGACAACCTTGGTTTTTATTTCACTCGAAATGACCCAGATAAAATAATTCAGAGTTTGAGCTGTTAATTGCTGATGACACATTCCAGGGGAGAAGAAAACACAAAAGACCTCAGCATATAACATGCCAGAGGCTCCAGGGAGGCTGTTTGTTTATACTGCCATGACAGGCTGCAAGTGAAACCTTACACAGTTAAAAGCAAGGGCAATAAGAATTTTAAAACAAATAATAAGCCTGTAGAATAAAAGAGTCAAGAATATCTAGAAATGATTTTACTGTAGTTGAGCATGCAAAACTAAGATGATCATCTAGAACAATTTATTTTAAACTTAAGATTGCTGGTTTCACACCAAAGAAAGTGTAAAATATTTGTAAAGATTATCAAGTTACCTCACCGCTTTTGAACTGACAAAACAAAGACATCTAAAAGAAAATCCTGTCAGAAATAACTGTCCCCCATTTGTGACTGCTTTGGAAATCACACATGCTTTGTGCTTTTCATGTAAAATATAAGCATAAATTGTTAACTCACCTTCCTACTACCATCTTTTTCCAGCTTTCCAAGAATCATATCAAACTATATCCACACAGATGTTAAAAAAAGAGGAAACAAAAACAGAGAGATGAATTGCATGTATTTCACAACATATTTGCTAAATACAAAGATGAAGTCATGGATGAACGAAAAACAGTGACCATTGTCAAAAGCATTTGTAACTAAATAACAGGTAAAAAGACATGATCAACTATGTTAAACGTATGGTCATTGCAAGACCCTCCAACATCTGGGTCTGCATCAGGCACAAAGGGTAAACAACTCTTAAGGCTGTCCTGTCTAATAAAGACTTCAATGAAGAAATGACTTTCAGTTTAACTGAGGAAGGCAAAGCGTGGCCAAACGTACCTCTCTGCTTTCAATTACTATTTCACTAACGCAACGCAGGAACATGTTCTCTCCTTGGCTGTCCTTCTCATTTCTACAAAAGAAAGAGAAGGAGGAAGGCACTGCTGTTTCTGAGAACTTTCCAGATAAGAAAAGTGAAGCAGTACTAACGAGGAGAAAATCTAGAGACATATATTAGCTCCTACCTGAGAAAGTAAAAATACTGCAGAGCTTCCCTCGGGTCTGTTGATTCAAACTTACGGGTGTAAAGCATCAAAAGCCGCGCAAAATTGAGCCGTCTGACACCGGGAGGGTCCCCAACTTCATGGCTTACTGCAAGGTCAGAAACAACACTGTCACAGCATGGAATGCCAGGAAAACTGATCTTCATCTGAAATCGGTCAGAACCACGATCCAGAGCTCGAGAGGAACTAAACCAATTAACTCTGATGAGATTGTTCCGATAAACGCTCCTTGATTGATCAATCACACAGACCTGCAGTGTCTACAGGGTACTCTGGGGGCTCACAAAACATTCCTTTATTGGGAAGTAAAGAGGACTTACACAGCTGTGCACTCTGGCCAGAAGACTTGAGGAGCAGTTTTAACTCGAACAGGACCAAAGCAACATGAACAGCGTGACAGCGCAAGCGCTCTGTCCGGAAGAGAAACGCGATTGCAGCTTCAAACTGTGCTGTCAAGAACAACACCTGGAAGTAGAGGAAAGGCGGCTGGTTCACTGCAAAATGTGATTCACCTGGAAAAGAACAAAACACGGAGCGTTTTCACATCGTTTCCATGTTTGTGCCATCAGAGCTGACTGACAGTGGATGCCTCCTGTCACAGTGCATCATGGCTGTTCACCCGGTGCCAACCAAAATAGACACAGTACACAAAACTGAATTCCTAATCAGTGGCTCATCTACAACTGCTCCATTGCAAATTTATCAGGAAAGATCAGTGTCTTTTCAGACAACAAACCATCAACTCTGACAGACCCCAACAGATTCTCTAAAGATCACAACTTTTTGTCTTTGTTTATACTTCTGCTAAGTGGTACAAATAACGTTAAAAACCTGGATTTTCCTACTCAGTGACACCAACAGTAGCTTACTGTATTTCTTTTCCACACAATTTTGTGTGAGTGTCAGTGATACTACAAACTAGAAAGCTGGGGAGAATCAAATTCTGTGTGTTTTGGATAGTCCGAGTGACTTAATTTTGAGTGACTGGAAGATGATTAGAGGAAAAGGTACTCTCTTGAGCTGTGGATGGTCTAAGAAGTTTCTGAGGTCTAAGGAACTGTGACTTGGATACCCAGAAAAATTACTTGAAATATTAATTTAAGGGAAACAATGAACATCAGATGCATACAGAGAAAAGGCTTGGAAAGACCTGCCTACATTAGGTAGTGATTGCTTTTCTGTTCTGTATTCCAAAAGTTGGAAGTTCTGCTAAAGACTTTGGCACATTTATGGTGAAAGAAAGCAACCTGCAATTAAGTACGGATTAAGGAGAAACAGCAGCAGTATTGTTCACAGATGAATATTTACTCTCTGGATTGCTGGGAACACTTCAGACTTATTCATCATGTCTTGCTGAAGTCTGCCATTATTCCAGGGAAGCAGGCTGTCCATGACACCCTGAAGATGCCTGTCAGTAGTGGAGTCTGGGGTTTGTGTAACAACAATTGGAAAGTGTCCTAAGCAGAAAAGCAGAAGCTGCAGGTAACACATTTCTCTGTGGTTTCTCACCATAGTCTTCCAGCAGCTGCTTCTGGAACTGTGATAACGTCAGTCGGTCCTGTGGGGAGCTCGCACCACCATCATCAAAACACACTTGGTTCAGCTAAAAAACACACCCAATAAAAGGAGCACAGTTATTTCCCCCTGCACAAGGAATGCACTCAGAAGATATTCATTCCATCTGAAGGCCCTCCTAGGATTTGACCAACTGCCTAGAAATTACTTCTAGTCACAACGTCCACTGCTGGGAAGCAAAGATTCCTAATGCAGCAGCACCAGAAATCCATGCAGATATAACCAGGGGGTTCTGTATCTGTCCATGCCATCAAAGTTCAGTGCTAGGACTCTGAATACTCTCTAAGCAATAATTAAAAGCAGCACTCCTTAGCTTTTAACAAATTATTTTAACAATATTTTTTTAACACCATTCTACCCCCCTCTTTCTGATAAAGCTGCCGACCAGTACCTGTCATGCCCCCACCAAAGCTGTAAGGACTTCAGACTACAGAGATACTGGCAGCATTGTCTTTGGTCAACTGACACCGACATTTCAGACATAATCCATCCAAGAAGGAGAACTCAAAGAATCCTCACTGTAGCAAGCTAACATTACTTGTAAAAACAGCTGACAAAGATCAGTGTCAAATGAAGAACATGGCACTTCCAAAGACAAGTGTACCCAAACTAACACCTGATAGTACAGAGGGCAACAGAGCAGCCAGGTCACATGCATCACACTGATGCAAAACACCAAGAAGCAGGTTTTCCCTACTCTAGAAGTGAGGAGGGTAGCAGAAATGCAGTACCATTTAGAACTGTTCTTTAAAAAAAAAAATAAATCCAAACACCAGCACCACCACAACCCCAGTATCACACTCACTTTTAGCCACAGATAATCTTCTGTTTTATCAGCAATTTCACTCTGGTTGTCTGTAATGTCACAACGGCCAATGATACAATAAACAGCCCTCTTGTAGGGGTCAGTGTTGTTTCTCAGAGCTCGTCTGTAATGAAGGCGCAGTTTGTTTTCTGTGGCAGGAGACAGTCTGAGGAAAAGAAAAGATTGAAGGAAAAGACATGAAACCCATTTTCCCTGCATAAGGCAACCTAGATATAAATAACTGTAAATAGGTGTAAATAACTGTAAATAGGTGTGTATTCACAGCAAAGGTATGACAACAGTAAGCACTGGCCGGTATTTGTTGCACTTTCCATTTATATCTGTAGGTCAAAACTTTGCACACATGAATTTAAACACATAATTTAAGTTATGGAGGATCGTCTTCAAATACCCATTGCAGGAAAAACAAAGTAACCATACGACAGTGTCTTTAGGGGAACATTAATACTGTGGTAGATGAGCTATTTTTGTCCGACTCTGCTATTTCATAATTTCAGAAAAAGAGAGCTCACAAAGTCTTTGGAACTCTTTGGGTTAATAACTAACAAGTGAGCAGGTCATTGTACTATGAAATCTTTTAGGAGAGATACTTTCATCCTTGTTATTAACTACTGTCATAATGTTCTTTGTCATTCTTTTTCTGGTACCCTCTTGTAGAGAATTTTACAGAATTGAACCAGTGAAGTGTTCTAGACAAAGACATTGCCTGTCAAATCTGTAGGCAGAGCACCTTTCCATAGCTGTAATAAAAACAAAATAAATCAATTATACTGTATCTCATTAAAGTGCTTATAATGAAAACAATGACAATACCTTCCCTAAAGCTTCTGGAACAATCTTGATATAATGAGCACTCCTAGATACTCTACAAAACAGGCTAATTTATAGAAGAATGACATGGCATACACTACTTGGTAAATGGCACTTGGACTTTTTTTTCTTTCAGTTTGTTTTGTTAGCTTGCAACTGTTTGCAACCACACCAGAAGCAGTTTGGCCAGTGGCCTCTGCCCAGTGATGGACAGCAAAAAGTGGAAAAGGAGAATAAGCACAGGAAAGAGGTGACTGTGAGTGCCTCTAAAGGCCTAACACACACTGCCTGCTTTTCCTGCATGGCATTCCTATGAAAACAGGTGTGGTAAAAAGTGTTCCCCAAAGGAAATTCAGCTAAAATAAGCAACAGGGGAAATAAAAAGAGACAGGATTCGTGACAGCAGATTAAATCTGATCTATTGTATGTAGTACCCTGCTGTTACACAGGGCATATCCTCCTGTAAAAAGGCAAAGCTGCACCACACTGTATTATTTCTGAAATGTAAATTTTTGCATATTTTTCAAACAACTCTTTCTCTGTTGAGATTTTTAGACTTCAAAGCCACAAATTAAAATATGCAAACTTCTTGTATGTAATTTAGGTAGGTAATATAAACAAACACCAGGCAGCCAACACCACCAGAAGAGACCTGAGCTTCTTGCATTCCCACCGAGCCACTGATTAATTCACTACTCCACAGCAATTCCCACCCCTCACAAAGATCTTTCCTCGTTCCCAATTACCTTCTGTCTTTACTGTGCATGTACTCCTGGAACCAGGTTTTAAACTCTCCCAGCTGGTGCTGTGCCCGTTTCACCACGTGCATGGCTGCAGTCAGATCCCCACAGCGCATGCAGTAGTAAATCAGTGCCCACACTGGATGCCCCTCCACCTCACCATCCTGAAAAGAAAGCAGGAAATACTTCATTTTTTAAATTATTCTTTGCCTCGTTCATTATTTCTGCCCTTATACCCACACTCTAATTTTGGTAAAAAATTCTGTTTGTGTTACAGAAGCCAGAGGTTATAATGGTTAAGTCCTGTGAAAGCTCTGTACATCTTAGCAGTGAAGAGTGTGACTCTTCTTTGCTTGCCCAGATTTCAGTTCTGAGTGGGGTTCTGACAATCCCAGAACTTGCAAATGATATTCTCCCCACCCGGGAGGTGGATTTGTATTATACTTGATACATTAAAACAAGAACTTTAAAATTTAAAACGTCTTTACTGAAACAAAGATACCAAGCTAATCATAGATCTCAGCAGGCAAGAAAAAGACAGCAAGACTTAGCTGTGTGCTCTCCAGTGTTAGAATTTATCATTTCTTCATTAAACTTTTAAATTTAATTTTTCAACCCAGCCTGGCTATCTGCTAATTTTGTAGATGCACAGCTATGCACTTTCTACTATATGCAGATAAGCAGAGTTTTATTCAGATTCCTAAATAAAAGGCTTAGGCTACAACTCAGATGAATTCATTACACATTTAGTTATCAAAAACTGGTGTCATCATCTTACAACAAGTATAAAAAAAGAGAGAAAGCAAAACAGGGAGATTAAGTTACTGCTTTTTTGAAACATCATAGTGTATTTTAATACTCCTTGGTTGATCTCTAAGATGACCACCCAAAGAGACCATGATTTCTAGAATTCAGAACTCAAACTACTGAGCACCACGTTTTGTGACCAGCTCTGAGTTCAGAGTGATTTTGGCTACTATCTTCCATTTTCCTAATGAAAAATTCCAGAGAAGGAATAAGAGCCTGCTACACCAAAAGCAGCTTAAACAACAGAAAAGCCACTGGAGGCTGCACTAGTTTCCCATCTGTACTGGAGCAATCAGACTGGTGTTATCATTTGAGCTCAGTGGCTGAGAGTGAGGGACAAACCTGGAGCCCAGGGACAGACGCTGGGAGTTTGATGTTCAGGAAGCTGCGGACCAGTTGGTAAGTCCCTGGGACTCCACCCAGCTGAGCCTGGTGCAAGTTTCCAAAGACTGTCACAAAGGTGTAATTTTTGTAACTGAAAAACAACACAAGCAAAACCAAACATGAACAGACTGAAATACAGCTGCTACAAAAACATTCAGTGCCTTGCAGATCTGACAGAATTAGCAATTTAAAGCAAATTACCTTGATGTTCCAACATTATCATAACAACAGAATGAGGCAAACATTGCTGTCATTTTAGGAAGATCCCTGTATTCAGCAGTCTCAAGAGACACCATGTTTGGAGGCTGCTCCAGGTTCAACTCTCTATTATGAAGTTCCTCTTATTAGGTTTTCATAGTACTAAGTTAAGCTCAATTGTGTAATTGGCAAAAAGCCTTTCCATCCTAATGCTTTAACTCTCAACCCTATCACTAAAGAACAGTTAAACACCATAGATGTGTTTGTCTCTCTTCCCTGCCCCATGAAAAAATACCATCCTTTGGGCTATGGACTTGCCAGAAGGAAATCCCAGAGAAAAAGGGAATTCAGAGAAATACAACTGGTAAGAGCAGCGTTAAGAACATCTTTTAAAATAACCCATCAAAGCATTTGATCAAGGCAGATCAATTCAACAAATACTCATGTTTAGAAGTAGGAGTCTCAAAAATCTATACCCTAATGGAAGACCTATGTAAGCAGCAGCAATAAATGCCATGAAGTTCTTTCTTTCTCTGCTGCACACAGTAGACTCATGCACCATCAGACTATAAAACTGAAAGACTATGCTGAACACAGGCAAATATCAGAGTATCTTGATAACTAGAATTATGGCTGAGTCAAGAGCGTGCTCCTCAGGGCTCAAGATCACAGTTGTTCCAAAGCAACTAATGCAAGAGCAGCTGTGAGTGGCATTACATCTCATCTGTGTACAAGTGTACTGGCGAGGCATGGGAACAGTTCAGTATTAGACAATTCCCTCTAGGAAAGGAAAACTCCAAAGCTAGGCACAGGGTCGTGTGTCAAGCCTGAGAGGCACAATCTCCACAGCTGGAAGGGTTGGGGGTGAACTATATATAACTCTTTCAGTTAGCAGTTAACGGCACTGTGAAAATTTAGCAAGTTGGATCTTTGACAAATCAGGATAAGAGTCACTGGCTGATTGCACCCTGCTGAGACCAAAGAACTGGGAACAGGAGATCCTCCAGCTCTGTCAGCTCCTCTGTGCACAGGCGGGCACTCCACCATCGCCCCTGGGTGACAGGAGCACTGATGAGGTGTGACAAACAACTGTCAGGGCCAAGGAGAGCCTGTGCCAGGAGGTGAGAGCATCTCTTCCCAGAGTGCTGTATGAGAGCACAGCACTGTCCGTGCTCTGATGGCAGACCTGTGTCCCTAACGAGTCCCACACTGCAGCCTCTGCTGCATGGGCTGAACGAGCCTGCTGGCACCACATCCCAGCTACCAGAGACCCTGCACCATGCACACGTGCAGGGGATGGGTAATGCTGCCACCCAGGGACCTGGCTTTGGGCAGCCCCACAGCCTGCAATCCCCTCCAAGCACTTTCTCGGTCAAGGAAATTAGGCCCCCACGATACTTGCTGATATACGCAGCAAACCACCTCCTACAGCCTCACAATCACTGCTACACGTCTTCACATTTTCCCAAAACTTTTCAGTGTAGAAATGGCACGATCAGAACCTGACTCATTGCACTGGGCTGACCCCAGTGCTGTCCTCACGAGCTGCTGACAGTCATCAGCAATCACAAAGTGAACATACAGAAAAGAATTTTTTTTTTCAGAAGGGAAATGGATCCCTTTCCACAAGTGACAGATTTTCACATATCACTGTGCAGATATGGAATATTTATAAGCAACATAGAAGAAAGAATAAAAAGTCTTTGCATCTTCTAAACAACCTCCCCATGGATTCAAGGCCTTTTTAACTAGATCACTCTTAAACTAAAACAGCTTTATGTTCAAGTGGCTGCTCTAAGCCCTGCAGAATAAAAAAGACAGGCAGCAGACACTGCTGTGAGCAGCACAAGGTAGCTGACTTCTTAACATGCACATTACAAAGTCATTCTGGCTTGTTATTAGGGAACTTTATTAAACTGTGCCCCCCAGAGCATTCCCCTTACCTCTGCTCCAGGTAGTGCAGAGCGTGCCTCACAAATTCCATCCGCACTTCCATGTTGGTCCGGACCTTCAAGGCATCACTGGCAGGAACCAGGGTAACATCAGTCATTTGTTTCACCATGGCCCACATCTCGGAGATGTTCTATAAAGAAGTCATTCCACACCTCAGCAATTAGTACAGAACGAACAGTCAACACTGTTTTGAGCTACATGGAGTTCTGATGCTCAAGGAAAGCATAAAAACACAAGAGTAATGTAATCTGAGAGTTGTACTGGAGATACTGGATGCAGTCATGAAGGTAAGCTGATTCTGTCCTGCAGAATTCAAATTTCACATCCAAGAAGATGGCTATAGACATTGTACTGGCAATTGTCACCTAGGATTGACAATTATTTCCAAAACTAGGCTGGGTACTTGGTGCTCAGCCTCTTGCCCATTTTCAGTTCACACTTTCCACTCAGTAAATCCCACAGCACCATCAGCTTTCCTTGTAAGCAATGGCTCTGGCTGCCTTTGGAAAGCTGTATGATCAGCTGTGATAAGAATCATCAAAAGGACACTGATCACTTGGACAAAGGCTCAGTTATAAATAAAGGTTGAAAACCATCCAGGTCTGCTTATTCACAAGGACGAGATCATATCAGTGTCTGCAGGACTGGGGCGTCCCTGCTGAAAGGGTAGAAGACTGAGAACTAACAGCTCTGTTCACTTGGGCAAGGGCAGCTCTTTGATCCTCCTGCTTCAAACACCGAAATTCACTGTGCTGTCCCTTGAAAACAAACAGAGCTGTTCAGAGCAAAGATGCACATCTGCAATTCAGATCGGACTGAGGCATTTTCTGAACAGCTTCTTGCTCTCCCCATTTGCACAGGTTTTCCATGGCTCGACCCTCCTGCAGGATTCTCCTCCAGGCATTTCTCGAAGGTGGCCAAGTTTGTGCATTTGTTTTGGGTTTGGGGTGGATCAAGGCAACACCATTACAGGAATAGAAAAAAAAAAAGTAGGCAGATCATTGGTTTAAAGTCAATCCCAGGGGCTTTATGCTTTGCTATGGGAGCCTATTTCAGCTCTACCACAGCCTGATTGAAAACCCCTCACCTACAACTAAATACCTTCAAACGACATTGAGAGACCACATTTGGAAAACCAAACCAACAGAATCTATTTAACATTAAAAACAATTTTTTCCTCCAACAGCTTATCACTTATGATGGGACACCAGGGTCGTTTCTTCCTCACTGTGTTAAGAGATTTTCACCATGACCAGCTTCGTCACAGGTGGGCCCTGCTGCTCTGGAGAAAATTCCAGTATTGGCTCTGGGTTTTCTGTGGAGCCACGCAATTTTTTTTTGGCAATATCAGTATTTTTCCCCTGATGTCAGCAGGCTGTTAATCACAGCTGAAAACAGATTAAAGGCATTTCCTTATGTTAACTCACTGGCAGTACCTTATCATCCAGTCCTGCAGTAGCAGCACAAAGGTCCACCAGGTTAGGCTGCAGATGTCCATTCACAATCTTCTCATTATAAATATAAATCTAAAACATAATTAAAGTAAGCATGTTTAACAACACGTATTATGCCCCATCCCCTTCCCAGCCACAGCAGCAAAATCTGAACCAAGCTGTCCCTCTGCTTCTCTCCCACATTAACTGCTTCTAACCCAGCAGTGGAGGAACCCGCCTCAGCCTCACCCGAGCTGCCACAGCACCCCAGAGCCCCAGGCCTGCCTGAGGGCAGGCAGCTGCCCAGCTGCTCAGGGGTTCTGCACGGCAAAGCACTGTGCTGGATGCCCTGTTAGACTAATTGCAGCTAATTGTTCAAGGACAAAGATTCAGAAGCGACCTGACAACTAGATGGCTGTGATATTCCCCTGTAAGGGGCAGCCTCCTACCTGCTGACATAAAAGAAAGGGGATTTTGCTGGTTTGTGGCAGTATTCAGGGAAATCTGAGACAGGGAAATGAACAGAAACCTGGCTCTTCAAAACCTACCCTTAAACATATACACACACACACACACACACCCCTTTTAACTCTTGATTTAATTTAGCTTTATCTATTCTTGTTTATTCTACTCTCAGCCTAAAGCCTGTCCACTATGTCTGAAAATTATCATTCTCAGTGCTAGAAAGGCAGTGCCATTGTACTTTAACTCCCTTTGTCATGCACTACTTCAACATGCCCAGCGTGCAAACAGGATGCAGAGCTCAGGACTGCAACCAGAATGCAGCATCAGTGCGATCACGGCCAGGGACGTCACCGTGTTCCTGCAAAACGCTTCCAACTGTCCGTGAAGAACAATTAATCACATCCGTGTAATCAAAACACGTTTCATGGCTGCTGATAAACCAAAGCAGCATGAACTGCCTGATCTCCAGGTCTCCTAACTCCTCACTGAAAGCACAGGATCCCCACAGAGGCTGCTGACACCCAGGTATTCTTGCACTCCAGCAGGCTGACGTTGAGGAGAGCTCAGCCAGGCCAACTTCTCCAGAGGGCTTCCCAGGAGCATTCAGTGACTGCACCAAGTGTTCTGGTAGCAGAAGCCTGGCCACAAACACCTCGTTTCCAGGGCACACAGCAGCAGCCTGTGCACAGCCCGTGACCTGCCAAGGGCCACCTGCCAGGGTGGCTCCACAGCCACCCCAGAGCCAGCCCTGCGAGACAGGCTGGGCTCCCCATGTTCAAAAACCAGCAGAGAACGACACTGACAGCCTCAAAGTACAGGCATAGTTGTGCTGTAAGGAAGACCCTCACTGCAGGTATATCACAGCAGATATGAACTAAATTAACCAACTATTTAACAGCCACCAAATCAAACGTACACTTTTATCAGCACAATCGTGCACCTTCTGTAGTTTGTTTCTTTCCAGTTACTGTAACTGAATGCAGATGAAGAAAACAGATGCAGGAGCTGCTCTCTCTGCCTCAGCACAGACTGAGCCAACACACACAATAACAGTGATTGTGTGCAAATTAGGCAACACTTTGTCTGCGCCGTTTCGCATATTCCATTTTGAAAAAATCAAGTCCCTTTCTTTCATTTTGTTCCCAACAGTGCTGGTAAACAGATAATCTCAAACAACAAAAGTAATAAATTGGTTATGTAAAGAAAGGTTTATCAGTTTTCCATGGGAAATTTTCCGAGGGAGTCTAATGCTACCAGGCATATTAATTCATAGCTGATGCACTAAAGCCTCTCATAAGCAATGCCATTAAAATAGGATACAATTCGACAAACATCAGGATTAAGACTTCAGCATGTTTTTTTCTACACACATACACATGAGAACAGTGATCTTCCACACGTGAGAATAAAGGGAGTATAAAACCTTCATTTGCATACAATTATACATTGACACAAATCCTAAAAAAATACAGCTTTTCAAAAGTTGAAAGAATTTCAGTTTACTTTATAAGCATAAATGCTTTCTACATTCATACATCATATACGGTGTTTAGGATCTCTTTTTGACAAAAGAAATCCTACGGCAAACAGGTGAGTACGTTCCTAAAACATCGCGCAACGTTTACGTATTTGCCAATTGCATTTTATCTCTGGGCAGATATTTTAATGTTTTACTTACCATGCCTTCTTACACACTATGCTCACATCTTCATTTCCCCTGCCCCTCTCTCTGTAGAACACAAATGTTTAAGTGTGTTTTGCCATTTCCACTCACCTGACGAGCATATGCCATCTCCATGCTGTCCAAAGAGCTGCGACCCGGAGGACCCACCTCACCAACATAGCTGGGCTGTTCAAGGAGAAGTAAATAGGAAGGCATAAAGTGCAGAATTACCACAATGCATTTTACCAATACATCTGCTCCCAAAGAACAAGAGCAAAACTGTGTTCCTGACAGAACTAGAGAAAAATGCAGTCTCACTGCAATACCCCGTTACCTTCCCAATATAGCTGAAACTTCCTAAAGTGACAGAAATCCTCCTTACTCATGCACAAGCCAACCATCAGCTCTCTAGAATTAGGACATCAGTGTCTCTTGGTAGCATCTTATAATTTTAACTCTTTGGTTTTGTTTCTGAAAAGGTTGCTTCTTGTCACGTCGATGTCTTGCTGTGAAGCATCTTGTCCAAATCTCCATTACAGCTAGGGCATGGAATTCAGTGGACCAGCTCAGATGGATCCAGTCTAGCAGATGTGACACTCCAGTTTTGTCCCAATACCATGACACAGACACAAAACAGGACTGCAGCATTCAATTATGTGCTGAAAGCTGCCCCACTGCTGGTCTGCTGCAGGAAGAAGTATGCTGGCAATATCCTGACCTGAAAAAATTGTCTTTTTACCCACAGAGACTATGCCAGGGTTGAGATATTTTGAGTGTAGAGCAGGGAGAGGCAGCTGATGGAGTCACAGCATGGAAAATTCATACTCTTATAAAACTCAAAATACAACATGCCATAATAGCCCAATTCTGCATAAAGCTATTCTTGTATGTTTTCATTACAAAGCACTGGTATGTTCTCAGTACAGCCACCACTGAACATGGATGTTCACCACTCTGCAGGAAAGAATACTCCCAATTAACTATGCAATACTGTCTGATATTTCCTGCTTCCTAAAAAAAATGTAACTCTTCCATTTCAGCATCAGCATTGCAAGTCTTGGGTTTGAAACATAAAGTGCAATCATTTTAAAGACAGATCCCTTTGAGGCAAGCAGTCCTTTAATATCAGCTGCTTCATAAGCCATGCTGGCCTGAAGATAAAAGCAAGACAAGCTCAGTACAGAAGCATAATATTTATTATGAAGCCAACTGACATAGCTGGGGCAAGGAAAGAAGGAACAGACAAGCTTTCAGAAGAGCAAGCAGCTTTTCAGGCTTGTTACTGTATAACTCTAGCTCATCAATATTCATCTAAACTGGAATCAGTAACTTTTTCCAAGAAAGAGCAGGTACACCTGCAGAATTTTAAAATTAAGCTTTTTACCAAAGTCAGTTACAACTTGCTGCACATCCTCATTAGCTGTTACATTACACTTTAGCAAAACTGTCAAACAGTTTTACTTCTTCTCACATCAGTTACCCAGACCGTCAGTACTTTATTGTGCAGGCAGGATCAACTCCTGGTATTGCTTAAGGACATGCTCTAGTCTTCCTGGAAGAGGTCACTTAAATGTGGCCAACTTGCTACCTGTACAAACAACAGAAAGCCCAAATGCAAGGGAAAAAAATCATCATTTTCACTTCCAGCTTAATCAGCTGCAGAGTTCAGCTTTGCTGACACCTGTCAGGCTGCAGCATGGCAGGAGCAATGTTCCTGCCATGACCTGGCTCCTGTGGGTTTCAGGAAGAGATCCAGAACTGGGTAGCATTTCTCCAGATGGTGCCATCATTCAGCTTCTTGTTTCAAATGAGGATGAAATGCTGGCAGGGTCTTCAAAAGAATCTCACTTTTTTGGGAACTGTATCCCAACTTGAAAATTAAATAATACAAACATATGAACTTCTAGATATGTTACTGATCAGTTTTGCACTGAACACTCTCTCAGTCATTCCCAAATTAATTTCATTTTTATATCAGTTTAACCCAGAATACCTCCTACTGCTCCTTTACACTCATGAGCAAAGACACTAAATGTGTTCTTGCAAAGACAGTGGCTCCCCACTGTCCTAGTCCATGAGTTTAGACCAGGGAAGTTTTCACAATTTAAAATTTAGAAACAAAGTGACACAACTGCAATGCCAAGAAGGTGTTCTGAATTAGCTAGGAATTTATACATGAAGACAAGGACACCAACCTCTACCAAGAAATTGTAAGAGCTTTGTGCTATCTCTGATTACTGCTTTCTGTGCAGCATACAACAATTGATTACAGGGTAAAAACTACTCAGCTGTGTTTGTCCCTAATATAATGAATTATAAATGAATGAAGGTACCAAAGATAAACCTGAACAATCCTTTAAAATTGCTGGAATTAGTTTATTACTGCATTAATTTCTCACTAATAATGCTATTTAAATAATGTCCAACCTGATTACAAAATCAGGGAGGTGCATTTATACCATAGGCTGTATAAAAACACCTTACAAAAAAACCCCAAAGAAATCCCACTTTTTCTTTTTGCAACTGAACTTACACCAAAAAGATTCTTCACTGTCCCTCTTAACGGATATACCGATATTCAGAAGCGTTTGCATTTTTCTTTCGGTGCCAAATGATCTGACACAAATTCCTTTAAACCCACCTAAAAACCGACAAACTCTTTGTTCTTTAGAACAAAGAAGCTGTTAAAGCAGGTTTCCTGGGAAACAGCCGGGATGGCAGGAATAGCGCTTTGCCTTCCCCTCGCCGTGCCAGAGAAAATGCAGAGTTATTTAAAGTAACGCTAAATTATGGACACTGCCATTAATTACTGATGAGGTTTCATCTCCTGAAGCAAGTGAAGAATAGTACAGAGTGACTTAGTGTCACTTCCCAACCCGTGCCCAAGCACCAGGCACGTAAGGACTGGGGCTTTGTTTCATGAATCTGGTTCCTTTTCCTGCTTTGTGGCACCAAAGAGCACCCACGTGGCTGCCACTCCAGGGAGTGGGGTGTGACTGCCGGGTTAAAACCCACAGGTAAGCCTCGGAATTCAGAAGTGCATGCCTGAAACTTAGAAATAACTTCTCTGGGATTTGTGTTTTCCTTTCCTTTCCCCAATTTTAATTTTACCCTAACCGTTATGCTTTGAGGATCACTTACTGACAATCTCCCACAGCTGAGAACTGCCACACTGAAATTAAATTCTTTAAATGCCCACTACTGACTTGGCACTTCACAAAAAAAGAAAAATCATGAACTCCAGAATTTGTCCTGCTTTTCTTACATTTTTCTTTCATATGGAAAAGTAAGCAAGCTTATTTCCTTTTTTTTTTCCATCATGCATTCTGGCTTAATCTTTGAATTATTAAACTTTAACAAAGCACTTGCTCACTGAACTGTCTCACAGCTGTGCTAAAAGGAAAGTTCAAAAGGAAAATTGAAGCAGTGAGTCAGCACAGGGAAGGCCAGTTCCACTCTTCCTGCTAAACTGCAGAAATGGAGAGGTGTGCAGGCAGTATTTCTGCAGAAGGATGTGAGAGGCATCTCCTACACACTAAGGGGGGGATGTGGGGAAGGAAGAGAACATCTCTTGCTGGCAAGTCAGAACTTACCAAGTGTTCAAACAAGGAAAAGATAACAAAGATGTGCTGAAATCAGCAGCTGGGAGCACACGAGAAGAATCGTGCTTCAGGTCAGGTTTTCAAGTTTAACTGGAGCAGCAAAAGGAAAAACAGAAAAGTGGGGAATGCACAAAGGACTGTGGAAGCACAAGTGCACACACACACATATACCTTTCTGCATCTCTAGTCTGATATTCCTTAAATGGCTTGTGCTGTTTTTCTCAAACACCTTTGCTTTTTCCTGCCCTGAATTTAGGTCTTTCCAAAACATTCTTCAGAACCTTAATATTTATTCTGACTATTATCCATTTCTGAAAGCTGGAGCTATGCTGCACTGCCATCACATTTTTATCTTTTAAATTCACTTAGCCTAACGATGCTGGTTTTCAAAGGAGTCCTCCTTCATTTGTACTCAGCCAAGCATTCAGCCTCACTTGCACACCAAACCATGCAAAGATGCATTATTCATCACCCTCATATGCATATGCACATTCCTCAGCAGAAGTCTGGGCAGACATTTTGTCAGCACTCCAAATGGCTTGGCCAGTAGATGCAGGGAATAACTAGGCAGGAGACTGAGCTGGAGAAGCCCCATCAAAATGCACTGTGGTGGAGCAGAAAGCATCTTGCAGTCCTTGGGATTTAAGGGACATGAAGACATGGTACAGAGGGGCAGAAGAGAAAACAAGAGCACCAGTGTCTCTTTGTTACTGCACCAGTGTGGTGCTTGACAGCAGGAGTGGAAGAGCTTGGGGCAAGCGTGGGAGAAATTAAAACTTGAAATAAAAGGACAAAAGAAACGCCTCGGCACCTAGTGGCACAAGACTCACAACAAACACCTTGAGAGCACAGGTGTTTGATACCTTGAAAACAAAACTCAGGCTTTCCTCCCTTTCCCCCCTGCCAAGAAGCACCTTTTTACCAAGTCTGGCTTTCCCCGATGGGAAGAAGGCCAGGCTGGAGGACAAGGGGGAGAAAGCCCTAACAGCAAGTCCTGTGCTGGGTCCTTTGAATTGTGAGCTTTGCCCCTTAATTGGTCTGATTTCCATGAATAATGTGTTGGTATTTCACTCTGCCCAAATTAGCTTGCCCAAAGCTTGAGAATTGGCTCGCAGGCAGACCGGCCCCCTGCTGCCTTTGGATCTGTGCCTTTTCAGTTGATTCTCCATCTCCAGAGGATATCAATTAAACCTCTACTATATTCTACAGGCTGTGTCTGTTTGTGTCACACACACACAAAAAACTTATTTGACTGGAACAAGGCTTTAGAAGAACAACCTGCTGTGGGGAGGTTAGATAACAGGCTTTTAACACAGTAGATGCACTTCAAAACCTCTCAGACCTTTGACTCCTTGAGGCTAAGACTAGAATATATCAAGGATTTTAAATGCTCTTGAAATGATATACTGATACTATGAGTGCTTTGAAAGCGAGAGTGGAGTATTACTGAGTGATGGTGCACATTGAGTCTTTGAACTCAGTCATGAAAAACATTAGGAGGTGGGTTTTTTCCCCTCCTCCCTTCCACCAATTTGATGCTTGGCATCTCCAGTGCCGTGGACTAGAGGCAGCATCCCTTTGACACTGAAACACCAGAAAAGGTGCTTCACCTGTTCAGAGTGGGTTATAAGCAAAGATGTTAGAAGCTATCAGTGCAGCTGCCAAGTTTTCAGACTCACAGCCCAAAATAACACGGTCTGTTCCTGGTTTTAAATTAATTCAGTCTGCATTATTTAGCATTGCTAATATTGGAAAGCTGGACAACCTTTGAGAAGTCACAGTAAAGTATGAGTAAAATACTTTCTGGGGAAGACAGCCTCTATAAAAAGATGTATGCTAACTGGGATTAACCTATATTTAAAAGAACAGTAATCAGAAAGGTACATTCCATTAACAACTAATTATTTCCAAATCCCTATACAGGTCATACCCCATTAGCACCAAGGGCTTTTTTTATTTTAATACACTTGCAGGTCTGTAAGTCATTGCAATGAACAAGAATCATTTTCATGGGTGCAGAACATAGCTATAAAAAAATGGGTCTGTTTTCTGGCCTGAAAGCACAGCAACTTGCATTCCCCCCATTCTTTATCACCTCTGCTGTCAAGGTGAGCATTTCCATGGAGCTCTGTGCAGGGGCTGTGATGTAACTTTGTGCTCCAGGGATTGCAGCTGCTGCCTGATGCTTCCAGATCAGAGAGGGGAAGTTCCCACAGCTCTGCACATAACTCTGCTTTACTCTATCCATTGAACTGGAGCACTTTCCTTACGAGAACAAACTGAAAAGTTTGAAGTTGTTACAGAAGATAAGGAATGTTTTAAGATGCTAGTCAATACCTCCTCATGTAAAACATGGGGTTAGTCTTGCCCAAAGGATTTGGTAACTACTGGATTAAATTTGAACTGATGAACACTAGAGGTCTTAGCAGCACAAAATTCTAATCCGCTCTGCATGAGACAGCAAGATAAAAAGGAAAGCTTTTTTTTTTCGATTATTAGTTTGGTTTTGCAAAAAAAACCTGTGAGACTTCATCAGCCTCCTAAGAAAATCCAGAAATCCTGGCTAGCACACAGTGATAAGGGAAAGAGAGCACTCTAAGACCTATGTGTAAGCACAACTGCACCTGAGAAACTGCTCTCACTAGCAGTGCAAAGGTTTCCTGAGGGTGAAGCTCCCTGATGTGTTTTCTGTCCATTGGGTATACTGACCTAATATGTGCCTGTGTGACAATTTCCAGCTTGCAAATATGTTGCTTAAAACACAGCTTCAGCAATAGGAGCTCCGTTGCCTGCACCCATCAGTCAGTAGTGACAATCACAAACGTTTGATATTTTGCTAGACAGTGCATTCTGCTAGTCACTGTCATTCTGGAATCAAACTAGAGATTTGATAGTTCTCATTTTCACCCAGCTGTAGCTGCAGAATAAAACCCAGAGGTGGTTTCAGCAGTGCTGGAGTGCCAGCTGTGTACGATGCCGTGCATAGTGTTTAGAAGGACACAGTTACCTCATTTTCCTGGGTGAAATCAAGAGCATCTTCCCCTGATGCAAGCAGAGAATGAAGAATCCTTTGTTTCACCTGTTCCCATTCAACCAGCATTGATTCTCGGTGATACTCCTCAGCCATAGCAAAAGTCTGTTGGTGAAGAAGAACAAGAGCTAAGGAACACACAGAAACACCCACCAGCCTAGTTCTGCTATTAATAGACAAGCCCAAAAATGAAACAGAAAATAGCAGCTACATAAATCAATCAGGTCAGCCCTCAGGAGCTAATGATGTGCTGCATATTATTTTAACAGGCTTCGTGTTCAGGTACAGGGGGATTTGGAAAGTAGGTGTGTGTGTGGAATTAAGACAACTCTCACACACCTCCAGCTGGTAAAAGAGGGAAACTGTGTCTCTTCCATGGTACTGCAGTACACAAATCTGAGCAGGCTGGAAATCAATAGGCTTGCTCCTTTAACTGAACAGCACACACAATATATCCAGGTCATCACTGATCCGTGTGGCTTGTTGAGATTTAACTTCTCTTATGACAACCAGCTTTTCACCTCCCCAGAGGCTACAAAGGTCTGACTCACTGTGTTCTTAACAGAGATGTGTGTTTATTGCCCATAATTCATTTTCAGGTCTTTACCAGTGTGTTTTTCTTTTAAATGGGAAACAGGAGAAAATAAAAAGTATTATGGGAAAATTAACCAGTGCCAAAGAACCAGAAAGTCTCTCTCAATAGGAATGTAACTCAGGAAAGCCCATAGGAAATATCATATCCCAAGAAAAAAACATCCTTTTACTTTGAAAATGGCTGATGTACTATATTGTCTTCAGATTCAATTGGGAACACATGGAAGGAAACAGCTCAATAACCCTTATTTTGGCAATAGCATTAGGATAGAGAAGATGCTTCACTACCTTTCCTGTTATTGTTGGGGTGAGACTAACAGCCTTGGGATTCTGGGACAGGAAATAAGAATGTCTCCACTAATTCTAAGTAGAAAATAAGCTATATTGTGTCTCTCACTTCTTTTTCTTTCACATAGCTCTGTGCAGCAAACGTCTTGGTTGGCTGACCAAGTTTTTAATCTCTTTGCAGTCCACTGTTAGGACATTGTCAATTAATGGGCAGTATGTTCCCCAGAATAAATGAATTGATGAGAGGCAGTGACATTTGGCAAACATTTAATTCAGGTGCACGTATGCAACTAGAGCATAAGATTTGTGTTTCTTTGTTTTGTTATATAAATTCACTTCATACTTTCGTGGTAGGATACAGGTCTCATCCTTACCTTCACTATAATAATTTTAACAGAGTTTTAAATATGCTTCCATAATTACAGTATAATTATATGTAATCAAAATAATTTAATAATGCTTAAGTACTATTTCTTATATTTGAAAGAAACACAGGCTCAGTTCTAAACCTGATGCCCGAAGTGTACATGGAGGGAAACAATAAGCATTAGGAAGCATGGAATGACATTTCCAAGAAGCAGTTTTAAGACAAACAACAGGAAGTGTTTTTCCACACTGCATAATTCAATTGTGAAAATCACTGTCCCAGAACATGACAGATACCAAAAGCATAAACAGATTCAGAAACAGGATCAGATGAATTTCACATCAGAAAACAAGCTGCAGCTCAGATCATCTTCAAAACAACTACTTGTTTGGAGGTGAAAAGACAGGAGATGAACAGCAGAAGGCTAACTCTGAGACTTTTTCTTACACACTAAGTACTGGTTCCTTTCAAGGGAAGAAAACTGGACTCCACAAATGTCTCCCTTTTTTGTTTTTGTTTTAAGGAAAAAATGGTGCTTTATTCCCACTTACCCTCCTCCTGGACTCTTCAATGGCCGAGAGCAATGCATTATCTTTTTCATTTTTCAGGAATCCCTGCAGAAAAGGAGAAACAGAGCTTCAGACAACAAATCAGCCTTGCACTCACATCAGATACATATTGCAGTACTCAGCTCTTTCATCCCTGAGAAATGCTCAGAGCTCTCTCCCCAGTCCACTCTCGAGAAGTTTAAAGGTCACTTTACTTCACCAGAGGTACAGTAAGATGCCCATACAGAGCAATGTGAAAATGAAAATGCATTAATCCCCTCTTTTAATATGCATTAAATCCTAGTGACATGTCCTGCTTCTATTCTCTTTTATCTCTGTGTCCCAGCATCTGCTTCCTCTTGCTCTCCATTTGAGGGAGCTGGGATGAAAGCTGGTAGGAGTGATAAGCCAAGATAAGATTGTTGGACTTGAGTATGCTGAAAAAAATAAAAGAGGCTTTGACTTGGCAGCTTCAGGCAGAAGTGGAGCTCTTGGAGGACTGATGGGAACTGTGAAAAAGAGCCTTAAAAATAGTTGAGGAAGGATGGAAATAACTAAACAGTTGGAAAGTATACAGAAAAAGTTTACCACACAGCCTCTCTCCATGCATACAGCTGGAGTAATTAAAAAAGAAGAATTGTCTTTGTAATTTTCAGCATATCAGTAAATCTCAAAGAGGTAGTGTGTATGTGAATAGACTGATTTAGATGAGCTGTTAGCTCCTTATCTCCAAGGTTACCTTCATGACCTATACTAGGAAATATAAAATAGTTTTAACTTTAAACAAGTAGCCAGGTAAAGTGCGGTAACATAGAGAGGCAACACTCAGGATACATTTATCACACCTTAACTTGAATATCTTTATTTTGCATTTTCACTGTTACATCACCAATTATACAAACCAAGTTGATTTGTACTCCCACACTTCAACTTAATCAGTATTCAGATCATAAAAAAGAAAAAGCCTTTGTCTCCCTCTGAAGTAATCAACTATAAATTATCAACTCCATTAAATGCTAATATCTTAAAAGCCTGTACACTCATTACACAGCTCTAAAACCAAAAGCTGCTAACAAACCTAGAGTGGGAACTCAATGGACCACACTTTCATAAAGAGAATACACAATTGCAGCAGTGACCAACTGAATTTGTCAGGAATCAGGAGGTTTTTGTGCCTTCCATTCTCCTCATCTTCCTGCAAAGAATCCCTGTGCTGTCACAGGGAGATTTGGGCCACTGGAAAAATATACCTATGGTAGGTCCTAGAAACAGCCCTGCAGCACAAATACATACAACCACAGGTATCACAGACTACTACTCTGGGAGCGAGGAGCATTTGAAATCCCCCCAAACTGAAGAAGTCTGGCAGGAAACTGCCCCCTCAGTGTTCTGCCTGCCCTCCTGCTGCCCAGCACCAGCACAGGGAACAGAGGGTATTGCTTCCTTTCCTTCTGAAATATGTAGAACGAGCATTTGACAGACATACATGGGACAGGCTGTGACCCCCTTCAGGCAGAAATAGGAACGTGACCCCTTTCTGTACATCAGGGGGAGAACAAACTGCCAGGCTCCGAAACAGCCGGGCCAGCGCTTCCCCAGGCACAGCCCCTGGATCGCACACGGAAGGGAGCGGTCACTCCCACCCAGCCTGCTCTACCTTTCACCAGCCACCATGCCCTGCTTTATTTTTAGGCAATGCCCACAGAGAAATCACAGTCACACTCTGAAAAGGGGAAGCTAAATCCAGATCCTTGCACACGTCTGGGGACCAGCTATTCCAGCAGCTGTCACTGAGACAAGGGTTGCTGCAGTCACATAACTGGGCCAAGCCCCAACCTTGGCTCTGTGCAGGAGAGGTGGGGAGGGATGGGGACATGCTTTGTAAGGCTTGTCCATGTCTGCATGGGTGGAAGGACTTTGGGAGGGCAACAAGTTTGTTGGGCTTTTTTTGGGTTTTGGTTTTTTTTTTTTTCCTTCATTTCCCCACCTCCAACCTGAAGTGAGGAAAAGTTATCTGGAATTATGGAATTATAACAAGCAGTGCTTCTAAACCTTCAAAGCACACACCAACATAGGAGCAGAAGAGACAGCTACGTTTCTAATGGTAGGGACATGATGCTGCAGAGGACAGCATGCTAGCTGTATGCTAAAAACATTGTTAATTGTACAGGCAAAACCAGCCCCATCTCCAACACCCAGATCTGTGGCTATCTGGATGCAATGGGCAGTGGGAGCTTGCAGAGGTCCTGGATGCCTGGCTCCCTGCTCATTCTGTGAGCACTGGGCTCCTGAAAGCCCCAAGAGATGAGTCCTACCTTTATTGCCCTTGGTTTCCCCTCTGTCCTTGGAGGGATGTGTGCCCTGAGCTGAGCAGGTACCTGCCCAGAAATGTACACAGCAATGATAACAATCAACAGAGTAATTTAAGACGTGCTTGAACTTCCCTTGATGTCAGTAAATCCAGGCTGAGTATTTTAATGAAACCACCCAGCTCCCAGAGAGTTCACTGGGTCCATTTAAGGGATTACATTACACTGAATGCCAATTAGAGGATGATAATTGTCTTTTTCAATCTCAAAAACTACTCTTTTTAGCAAAAGAAAATCCTCACACATTCCAAATAATATCTGTAATGCCTCACTGAGGAGAGGCACATTTTAAAAAGGTTGCCCTGTGTCTTGTGCTAAACATTATGACTGTAGCATGACAATTGCTGCTTCAGTTAATTACAGGCTAATTGTTAAACCTCAGAAGAGGGAGTTTCAGTAACTCCTGTTACTGCTCACGAGACTGCTTCTGCTTAGTTAGGCCAAACAAGAGCTCCTGGGGGTGTCACTCCAGGCTTCGGTGGCCAGAATTTCACTCGTTAAGAAAGTGAGGGGGGTCTGGCTGCTGGATTCCCCGGGTTTATTGTATTGCCACCTAGTGGTGCTCTACACTTTGGTCACTGGACATGGAGATTTCATGGACATGCATAAATGCACACAAGTGTACCTCTGCTGTATGAAAAAGCAGAGCTCTGGAACACGGATGGGCAGAAAGACAGAAGAGATGTGCTTTACGTTAGAGAGGTTTGGTCCTCAAAAACCCCAGGCCACAACTTCAAGGGTTCACATATCTCTTAAGAAGTCTGGGCTGGGAGCAGTGCAGGTTGTGCTCACCAGTTACATCTGCCCTAAAAGCTTTCCACAGTCCCAGAGGCGAGGTTTGACTTTGCCACGAACGCTCGCAGGCTGTACCAAGGGCAGGGCGGCGCAGCTCAGCACGCACGGGGAGCACACGGCCCAGGGGGCAGGAGCTGCCCTCTCAGGGGAGATGCTCCTGCCTGCACAGAGAGTAATGAGACACACTGGGCATCCAGCGAGAACAGAGATTACTGTCACAAGACAAAAGGCTATTTTGCGGCGGCAGATGACAAAGACAGGAACAGCCACCACGAGCATCGCTGAAACCTCAGAGGCGAAAACCTCACCTTGCAGCTCCCCGTGCACAAGCTCTGCCCTCACAGGGTTCCCAACGTAGCCTGGATTTTGCTTGAAAATTAAAATGAAGGTTTACTCACAAAGCTCACAGAGCCCTAATGTCACATCACTGTGCCCTCCTCTACTGAGTGGCTTTTGATTTTCCTCTGTTACTGTGGGACTCCCACACATTCTTCCTGTGTTTAGTTCAGAAGGGAAGCAGCACAAGTCTTCTCCATCACCAATTCTCTGCAAAACTCGCTGCCGAATGTTTCCCACACACCATTTGTACAATATCCGACGCGATGGTGTTTGCAAAACAGGGACACAGGCATAGAAATACACTCACTCTCCCACCCTCAGGTTCCCGTTTTCAGTTAGTCCTGCCTACTCTTACATGTCTACTGACTCACAGCATCTTTCCCAAGCACGTTGCAGATCCTCTTGGATCTCTTAAACCTTGAATTACAGGCTGATCTTCTCACATGCTCCCATTTCTGCTGAAATCCAGTCCCACTCTGCCTTGCTCAAGGATGGTTTGTAGAAGAGGCCCCACCAGTGGAAGGGCAGATGTCTGCATACCCCCCTGGAGCCTGTGCCACCTCCCTGTTCTCATCTCCCTCCTTGTTGCACTCTTATTTCTCCTCTCAGACAACCACTGACACAGATTGATCTGACAGGAACCGACACCTGCCTTGCTCCAGCCTGAATTCCAGCAAGAAAAGTGTTCCAGTAATTCATTATCTGTATGAAAGGGTACCCACACAAAACGGGTCCCTTTTTGACAGGAGACTGAAAGTCTCCTCCATTTACCGCAGTAAATGAGGTTAGTAAACTCTCCTGGCTGAGAGAAGTCTCTTAATTACTTTCATCAGCCAGGCCATACTTTTAATACTTGATCTTGGTATTCAAGCTGTCAAGAGAAGGCGAATGTTGCCAAATAGTATACTGAGGCCTTGGACGTTGACAGCAATGGTTACTTTTTCACTGGCAGAGAAAGAGAGAAGAAAATGAAATGAGCAATCTGGGGCCATTTCAAGTCAATTGCTCTTCAATTAAAATATTTCCAAGTGCTGGATTTCCTGTAGATCCAGTGAATCCAGCAGGGATGGTTAACAAAAATCACCCTTCAGCGAAGGTTTGGGCACAGTAGCTCCAGGTGAAGCACCTGAATTTATTATCTCTGCTAGCAATTTTAAGAAAAAAATTGTTAAATATAATTCTACTGCAAATGTGGACATGTCCTGAGGTGGTGCACCCTGGCACAGCCCTCGGGGAACCAGAAAATGAAGCAAAGTTACCTGGAACCCACTGCCACAATAATAGACCTTACCAGGTATTATTGCTTTTTTAATACAAATTATTGTTTGTGCTGACACAAGCATCAGTGCTTGCTGGCTGGCTTTAAATAGATTGGCCAAAGGGCCCATAAGCCATGGGGTGGCCAACTGTTGCATTCCTGAGGATGGGACATGCCAGGGTGGCACAGGTAGTGTTTTTCTCCATTCACTCTTCCTTTGCATACATGACACCGGTGCCTCTTGGAAGCTTCCACAGGTCTCCTCAGGATTTGTTTTGCAGAAAGCATCAGTTTTTGCTAAAGCCAAGCAGATAAGCAGCTTCCCTACAGACCTTGGCCAGTGCAATGCTGTGTCCTCCAAAGCATCAAGGCAGCTGCCCAAAGATCAGCCACCAAGCACAACCAGCCAAGGACATTTGTGAAATTGGCTTTCTCCTTGGAGAACTTCAGATGGCAAAACTGCTATGGGGCCAAAGCAGACTGAGGGCCCAAGTGCAGAAATCCCCAGAGAAGAAGAGACCCCAAGGAAGGGTTCAGTCAGTTCAGTCAGCATCACTTCAAGCTGCCTGAGAGACAAGGGTTGAATGACTGTACATAGACACAGAGGTGAGCTGGAAAGAACAGTCTGACGAGGCTCATCCCGCAGCTGTGTACATTGTTCAGTTTAAGGATTTAGCAATACAAAATTTCCCCAGCCTAAGACAGCTGCACTTGTCAAACTGCAACGTGCATTTCTCAGCTTCCTTACCATCACGTTTAGAGTGGGAAATCCTGAAGCATTTTTAATTCACTGTTGACTGAACAGAAGAAGAAGCAGGGAAAAAAGCAGAAGGGTTTACAGTTTGTTAAGACCCAAGAGCCAGTTGTTGCATCAGAGACTTTCAAAGCGACAGCCATGTTGGAGCTGAAGAAGTAAAAACATGTAGGTGAACAAAAAATCCTGCTAATACAGCCAAACACTGGGCTTGGGGCAGATATGCTGCCCTGCTACCTCCCTTGAACCACATTCCCCCAAGCACCATGACTGTGCTCCACGCTTGTAGCCAACACTCGTGTTCAACTGGTTTGAGAGCCAAGTTAGGAGAGTTCTTCCCCACCCTGCAAGCAGATAGCACTTGACTGGCAGCAAGTCATTAAAATATACAAAGCACGACCTCCTCTGCATGCTCCACTGCATGACTAGCAACAATTTTAAAGGTTACTTCAGGATTTTTTTAAGCGGCTTTCCGCTCCAGCAAAATCAAATTTTGCAGAGCTGCAATGCTGTCTCCTTTCCTGCTGGAGAACCAGCAACCTGGACGTGGCCCCAGCAGCAGCAGGAATGGATGCATTCCATGGTGCAGAACAGAAAGGGGCACCTCTGTTTGCCCACGAGCCTCTTCCACGGGCTCCGTGCGCTGCGGAAGACGCACAGCAGCACCCTTTGCCAGAGACAAGTCCTGGGGTGGGAACGGGGCTTCCCTGCCCCACCAGCAGCATGCTGTTGATGTAGTGCCCAGGTTTGAACACAGCCTTTAATCCGTGTTGCAGAGTGAGCTTTAGGCAAATATTTACAAAGTGGTCTCCGCCACAGGCTAGCACCGGCAATTCAAAAATCTAGTACATTTTTTCGTATTATTTTACTGTTTTAGACTGTTTGATCTGTGAGACTCATGCAGTTTTCACAGTAATCTTCAGACCGTATCCAGGAACATTGGATTTTACTGTGTTGGATAAATATCATTATTCCTTCTAGCCGTGACAGGAAAAACTCAAACTGCCGAAAGAAGCACTCCTCGGGAAATCACAGCTCAGCTCTAACAGAAGCAGGGGCAGATGGTGCACGCTCTTTGACTCTTGCTGGGCCTGTTTGGATCTGGCAAGTGAACACTGGAAGTGCGTTCCTTAGACATACAGGCTCGGAGGGAAGAAATACAAATACCTCTCGGCTCCCTCGTCAGCCAGGACAGCATCCATCAAGTGCAGAAGGTTAATCCCAAACCATCAGTAAATATCAAACCATCCCCAGCACTGAGAGGCACCACCACCTCCCACACCCAGCCGCAGTCCTCCCAGACACATCTGCAGCACGAGGCCATCCAGGAGAGCACAAGGTGTCTGCAGTGAACAGAAGGAGCACTTACCATGAAACATACAGGGAGCACAGCTTTGTCACACTGGAAAGGTCTAGAAAAATACCACTGCTCGGATTTCCGGTTGGAATATTGTGCCTCAGCAGCCCCAAAAATGGAACTCTCTCCTATGTGGCACAGCTTGTTGTGCATATAAATGGAGATCATCGCTGTGGGCACGAAACACGACTCCGCTCAGCTTTAGTTTCTTCTAATTCAACATAGGATGCTCAGCAAGTTCAGGTTGTCATGCACTATGAGATTTCAATATTTCACTTAAAATTGTACTTACAAGTAGCTTAACTCCTAACATAACATGGAAATTCACTGCAGTGTTCCTATGTATTTTAAGATTTTACAAAATATGTCAGATTGGCAAGATTTAAAAAATCCGAGCGGAATGATTAAAACAAGTGAAGTAGGACGCTGTTCTAAAAAACACCACAGTATATCAACCATCACAATATGTATAACTGATATATTGCTTACACAGTGTACCTAATTATTAAAATATTAGTAATTATCCATACTATTTGTTGTGTCTTTCCCCTCCATCAGAGTGAAATGAAAATAACTTCAATTACACAGATCAGTCTCTCATTCTCAGGCTCTACAAATCGTTGCCGTGTCATTTCTGGCTGCACAGTGCATGGGAATGCTGTTAGAAGAGGGTTTAGTAGGCTTTTTTCAGAGGCACAAACACTTTAATGGCATAAAACTAAGATAATACCTTTTTTAATCTAAAATTTTACAGCAAAGTTGCTCAGAATGAGATTCTCTTTCACATACAACTATCAGCCTCCACTGCACAGATCATTTTTGACAGCAATTGTTAATTCAACACAAAAGTAGTGTAAGCAACAGCGCTGCCTTCTCTAGTGATCCTCTCTTTCTCCCCAGGCATGTTCTCATTTTCTTTCTCTCTACAATACAACTGGGAGCGGTTCAACAAGAATCCCAGGTCCTACCAAGCTAAAAAGCACCATGGAGATGGTGCAAAATACAAAGTCTTGAATAACCCTAACCTGCTTAGAGGTCATGCAAAGAACAGAAGGAAGAACAATGAAAAAATATATCTGAACCAGAAAAAGAAGGTGGACAGACTCTTGCCTGCCAACTATGGCAGTAGGAAACGTTCCTCAAGAGCTACCAAAAGGAGCTTGTCCAGCGGGCTGACACTGGTACATCCCACCTGAAAGCGTCTCAGACAGAGTTTGGGTTTGTCTCAATCAAGTGTCACAAAGACAACTGAACCCAATGCTACCTCATTTGGAATACACCTTCTCAAGTGAGGGAAGCTCTCCACACACATCGGGCCAGCAGGACCCACAGGAAGCCCATCTCCTTTGGCACCAGCATTTCACCATCAGCACAGAGCGAACGGACCACACAGTCTGAAATCTGAGCTCATTCATCACATTTCCAAATACATGGCTACCTGTCTGCCTCAACATTTTTTAAATGCAGGAGGATGCCCTTAGTGTGGAGCTTTGCTCAGTGCTCTGACGAGCGGCTACAGTCTCTGAGCTGTAGCCTCTCAACAGCATCGTGATTAAAAAATACAACCCTACAGAAATCACAAACACATCGAGAGATCCACAGTCAAAGCAAAACTCAGGGCTTTGCCTCTTTTTCTGAATTTATTTAAAACAAATGAAATTATGAGGTAATTCCAACGGGTTTGAGATCCACGATGCAACCCTACATTAAAAATATTTATGGCATGTAAACAAAGATAATTTCTGATCATCTACTGAAAGAAGCTCTTATATCCGCCTCTCTGGTATCGTGCTTTTTAAGGAAATACTGTGAAAAAAACCTACAGAGTTAAATGACTCAGTATCTTTATCTTCGTCGTACAGTCATAACCGAGGCTGTAATGTAATACCTCTTGCTGAAAACATCCTCGCATCAGGCAGGACGCCCTCAAATCAAGCCATCCAAACTAATTTCACTGATGACGCCATTTTCTTGCTCCTTTCGCTGCCATTTTAGCACCGTGGTTCCTCCACAGCTCCTCGAGAAGTGGCTGCGCGCTCTCCCCTTCTGAGAGGAAACCACGCTCAAAAACCACAGCGACAAACAAAACCTGCACGTTGCATTTGTGCCTGTGTCACGTCCTCGCCTGGCAGGGCAGGGCCGGGGCACAGTTGCCATTGCAGACCACACCTCAATCCCACTGCAGCCAGAGCTGGCCAGGAGTCTCCTGAGATGGTGTGAGCTGAGAGACCAGCCCCTGGAAATCCACCAGCACCACACGACAAACTGATAAAACTGAGGAAAGACGAGTGTCCAGCCCTGTTACAGGAGGACAGTCTTCCCCCTGAACCCCACAGAAAACACTAGCTAATAAGGGAGTAGTTTGAAAAGAAAAGCAAAAGGCATAAAGGAGGCACTGACAAGCTTGCAGTGTCTGCTGCTGGACTAATTGTACATTAGCATCGACATACAGGCAGCCACAATAACCCAAACAACCAGGCAGCAGAAAATTCATTTCTCAGGATTGTATTTGAAAGCCAAACTGCCGCCTCTATCAGTCCACGAAGTATTTCCCATCCCGAAATGACACATTTCTGATGGATCACCAGCAAGAGGGGCAAATTATTAAACAAACCTGAGACTCATTAACACCCAGCCCCTCCTCTAACCCACTTCTGAGAATTTTAGTGCAGTCCTTTGGTCTCCCCCACCCCTGGTAAGTGCTTTATCCCTCTGCCTGTCTCACTGGGAGCACGTAACCTTGCTGCTTGTGGGAAACAGGGATGCTCTAAGGATTGTTTGGGAACCAAAACACGAGTGATAGTTGCACATCTCTTCCTTCACAATTTCAGATGCGCAGAAACAGTTAAATGCCTTTGAGTTATTCTGAAACTGTATGTAAAAAAATAGTAACAAAAAAAATTGGTTTTCTTTACCTCCTCTGGATGCAGGCAGCGAGCCTGGCAGCGCTGAGCCTGACACTCTCCCTGTTCTCAGGCTGACTCAAGCAGAAGGATTTCGGCTGCCGTGCCCCCATCCCAGAGCTGAAAGCCTGTGTACTGCCTTCCTGAACGTTCCTCAGGAGCACAGTTATCCTTCTGCTTCGGTGAAAAGAAAAGCCAAGCGACATCTTCCAGCCTCCATCTGCGTCTCAGACAGAGCGAGGCACGCAGAGAACACTCGCTGCCTCCGAGGGACAACGCCTGGTTCAGAGACATCAAACCCCTGTCAGCACCGGGACTGCGACAACCCAGTCACACCAGGATGCAAATCCTAAACCCGGCATAGGTGGCTCTCCCCAGTGCTGCACCTCCACAAAGGGGTTTCCCCATAACATTTCTGTTGCATTTTGAAGTCTCCTTGGAAAAAAACCACACAGGGAAAGAAAACCTTTCCCAAGTTAAATTTACTTTATTTCGCTGATGGCGACTAATGCTACAAAGAAAGGGCCAAGATTACATGCATTGTAATGTGAAGAATATTTTTTTTTTTTAAATACACACTGGCACGTCAAGGAAATGTGCAAATTCCAAGTTCAGACCTCCTAAATAACATGAGATGATTTGGCAAAATCATCCACCCGAGGTTAAAAAAATAAGCCCACATTAGCTAGCCCATTCTTTTCCAGTATTTGTAAATAAATCATAGCTACACTTTGTTCACCTAACAGCTATTTTCAACATGGCAGCATGTCCCTTGGAATAAAGATAAATATTTTACTGACAGTGAAAGCAAGCAATTTGGAGTTCATACATGTCATGATTTCTTTAAATCCTCAATTTAAACATGCCGTGGTCTTTAGAAATGGTGTTTCCTTTCTACATTACTGATACATTTCACAAAGTTAATTATTTAAATTACCTATGAATTATTAATTACAGATCATTAAACTAAGAAACAGAAGTCTGGAATATGCCTGTAATAATTACAGAATGTATACTTAAAAATGTTAAGACATTATAAAGCTCAGAGAGAAAGGCATGAATTAAAATTCTCAGCTGCAATAAATGATATGTTATCACAAATACTTTACCCTTTCTCAGCTTATTTCTCTCTTATTGTGCAATAAACCTAAGGTTTAAACTTTCCAGACTTGGGGCATGAGACCGGTGTGCTGAGGATACACCAGAGACAATGGGTTTCCATTTTTCTCCCCCGGCTCTACTCCACCCTGGCTAAGGAACTGTCTAGCAGTGCATGCCTTTATTTGTGCTTTGCATTAACAAGGCACACGAGCCTTCGGACTTCAATGTAAATGAAATGTCAAGTCCAGATGCTGCCAACAGATATCAGGGCAAACCCTGCCATAAGAGACCTACAGCTAATTATTCACTGCGGTGCCTCAGTCATTTTCCCATACATTAATTTATGGAGCTTAGTTGAACTCTGTCTCCCACCCACTTCAGACAAAGGAAAATAATTTGCCACACTGTACCAACTGCAAGGATAACCGAGCTGTCTCCCACACAGGGTCAGTGGGGATGGGGTGGCTTCCTCCATCTTTTTACACATGCAAACCACACATTTCATTGTCCTTTACGTGATTTCTTGCTGAGCTGCTTTTGTGGCAAGACCCCCTCCCTTTGCACAGGTAATCTGGTTGAAGAGAGACAACTTTTTGGCCGTGCTATGCCCCTGTTCTGTGTCTCCCCTTCTGAGCATTTCTCAGTTGACAATAGGAAGTGCAGAACATGGCAATCGGGCACCTTAATACCTGGGGAGGGAGCCCCAAAGGAGGCAAATCACCCTCAGCTGCAAGAACCCAGGTGCCATCCCGGCACAGCACGGTTTATTAAACTGCTTTTTTCCATACAGAAAAATAGAATTGAAAGGAAAGGAGAAAAAGCAGCCCACCCTCTCTACTTTTGTCCCAATACCAAAGGCAGGCAGAACTGCCAGTTTGCATGCAGCCTCTGAGTCCTCAGATCTGAGAGTATTAAATCAGCTGCCACCCACCCAGCTAGTCACGGCCACCACATTTAGATAAATGTTAATTCCCCGACTGCTTCCCTTGACTATGATTTTACTGGCTTAACCCCTTTCATAATGTATCCTATTCACTTCAAAGAGAGGTGGGATCTAGGCTGCAAACTCCAGTTGACTAAGCAAATATACTTCACCACCTCAGTCAAAAAACTAACAAAAAAAGCAAATCTCTGTCTTCATTTACTTTGTAAGAGTAGAAACATTTTCCTATTTTCATCCCATATTTGAAATCCTTACTTCAAAATAAATTAAAGAAAGTTTAGTGTGTCTTCTAAATAAATCATAACTGCATCTGTAAGAACAGGGGAAACAGAGTGGACCAGTATCTTTACACGACAATGAAAGTCAAGAGGTAAAAAACCCCATATAATCAAGTAGCATCTTTATTTTTTGTTTAAAATACTTCCATAGACTTTTCATAGCCTAGGGAAGAAAAAACAGGCATAAAGGCATTCAGAAAGTTATGCTACTGTATTTCTGCTTAAATGAAAAGCAAAGTCAGCAATGTCAAGAGGGTCTTTAAAAAGGCAACACAAATGAAACCCAAAGCAGACGCTGGACTGCCCCACCCAACAGCTGCTCGAGCAAAGAACGTTGGAAGGTAAAGGCACAGACCTCCAGGTTTCTTTTCTGAGAGCAAAGGACCATTTCTCCAAAACTACCCACCTGTTCTCTTTTATTACTCACCTACAAATTTAAACAACCTGCAGCAACAGCACAAAGAAAAACCGCCATAGAAGACACCTGAAGGAAAACTCTCTCTTATCAAAGCAAGCTTTTTACCTTCATTTTATATATTTTAAAAGACAGACATTCCTACCTGTAGATCTCAGTACTGAGGAGTTACAAACCTGTTAATGCTGGCTGTAACTGCCACACTTCAGCTGCCTGGTATTAAGGCTTACACAGCTGTATCTTATTAATGTTCAAGTTTTCTCATCTTAAAAAAAAAAAAAAATATAAATCAAACCTGCAAGTCCTGAAATGGCTGAGACAGTCAAGAGTCCAGCAAGACAATAAGAAAGCAGCTGCTTTCCACGGCTGAACACCACTGCCTGCAAAGCATCTATATATTTTTTTCCAGTGGTGCTTTATTCAAATTCTAGGGAAAGCATCAGTCTGAAACCAGTAACTGATGGGAGTAACAGTTTATAGGTTACAGAAGGATATTTTATTGTTAACGGACTGTACCATGTAGGAATTAGGAGGGGGTGAGGCGGCAGGAAGGCAAGAGGAGAGAGATGCTACTATTTTTTTTCCCCGAGCCACTGCAATTACTCTGATGTGAATTTTTGATGACTTCCGACATATTGCATGGTTAATAATCGTTTCAGCTGTCATGTTTGGTTAATGTGGAAAATGCATTTGCTGCATTGTGATGCAGCACTCCAGCCACAGATTGTAACACCAGTTGTGAAGCTATTCCCTTAACTGAGCTGCATGAATTTGCACATACCATGAGGCTGAAATAAATGGTAGTTTGATTTTTATACAGCAACAGAAAGCTCCTGCCATTTTAGACCTGCAGAGCTGTTGGTACAACTTGTACAGGCATATAATTTTACTGCATATTAATTGGTGTTGATGTTCTTTAAAGGGGAGCTTTGATTCTCTATTGTTTTGCTGGGTTTGGTTGTTTAGCAGTTAAAAGACTGAGATCCTATTTACATTAAACATCACTCTTTCTTGTAGCTTTGAACAGGTTATTTAACTGTAAGCCTATATCCATCAATGAAACTGTCAGCACTACAGAAATGCAGCCCTGTTATTCATACAGGCTCAACCTACTTCCTCCATGCCATACTTAAGAATGTGTGTATACATAACCTTGTCTTACAAATATTGCACAAGAGGGGCGAAAATAAAATGACTGCACATGAGGGGTGAAAATATGCTGCTCACATTCAAATAACGAGGATTTTATTTGTAAAATACCACTTCACCTGCACTTCAAACATCAAACAAAAAAGTATAAGGTTACATAAATACTAGCCTGTGCCTTTCAGTGTCACCAATAGAAAAACAATGCTGCAAGCAATCGTGCAATTACAAGAGGAGATGTAAAACAGCAGAGATGAAACCATGCAAAGAGCCAGTCACCCGATGATTAAAGTCAGGCCAGTGTATTCCAGCAGTCAGGTGATGGTGCCATCATTACAGTGCAGAAAGCCATGGAAAAATCGAGAAACAGACCACCCCCATCTTAAAGAAAAAAAATTAGAAGCACCAAAGGAATAAGGAATGCATTTTCTAATATGCAGAGTGTAAAACCACGGAGAAGCATTCCACAAAATGTGTGTCTAACACTATTGGGAAGTTACTGCCACAAGTCCCAAGTGCACATTTAACCCATGGTGCCAACCCAGCTCCCATCTGCAAACTGCTGGTGACACTCCCAAATTCAGTTCTTCTTAAATTCCAGAACAACAGCCCTGCTGCAACAGTACTGCATTTCACAGCTCAGTAACTCTGCTCACAAAATGCACATCTCATATTTGCAAACACAGACACACAAAAAAATCCAGACTTGGGATGTCTATGTATAATTTAATGAAGGACAAAAAGCTATCAGGAGAGTGTTTTACTGTGCTTGAACACTGAGGTATCTGCAGAATCACCACCAATACCACCAATTCATTATTTCCATTTCTGTTTTAATTAAAACAACACTGCAGGGGTATCTCTTGGACATGAAGTATCAGTAAATATGGTGCAGGATACTTTATATAGAGAAAAAAATGAGTCTTTGAATTAACATTGTACTCAGTTTGGGAGCAATTCCCATTAACAGGGTTAAGTCTGTAGAAGGTGCTCTGTGGCTCAGTCTCACCTACCTCAAAGGCATCACTTTGCACCTTGCACAAGTCAAAGTTTCACAAGTGGCAGAGCCATTTCTTAAATAAAATGTATTTTGGCTTTGAAACTAGCAAACTTGATCCTAGGGATGGTTTTCCTCAAACCACTGCAAGGAGCAAACCCTCCCTGCTTGTGACCACATGAACACGGTACCGAATACCTGAATCCTCCTACCAGGCACCTCAGGAGTGGATGAGACAGGTCCAAATCCCATGTTCTTAGTGGCAAACTGCAGTCAGTTGCATTGCAGGGAAAACCACTGATCGAGACCAGCTACACCCCACAGTGCAGGCCAAGTCCCTTCTGGGAGAGGAAGGGTAATGCATTTGCAGGGATAATTTAACTCTGGCATTCCTCCTGCATTTCCGAGCATCCACGCCTGGCACCGTCCCTGCTGCCGCGCTCACCTCGGTCACCTGCTGCTCACCTCACACACCCTGCTCTGGTTTTGGATGCCTTCTCCCCCTGCTTACCTCTACTTTGCATAACCCACTAGTGCTGCAGAGCCAGGAGCACAGAGGACACACAGAATTTTTGCTTTCTAGCCAAACCCTGAAACAGGTAAAGGTACCTGGAGAGACAGTTGGCTCTTTAGGACAGGCTGCAGCCTCGCCAGGGATTTCAGGAGCACAACCATCCATCTGGAGCTGCTAGCCACAACTTTATAGATGATGCTTTTATCAACATTCTCTATTATTTTCTGGCCATGTAATGTTACTGCAGAAGCTACTCTCAACTGCAGAACTACGTGTTATGGACCAGCACAATTAGATATATATACTTTGTTTTACATATTGCATTGCCAGGGAAAGCCTTCCCAGTGTGGCTCAGCACAGCACTGCCTCCCCTTACCTACGGATTTCTTAAAGCAACAGCTTTGAGGGATATGAGCAGAAACTCCTCACCCCAAATGGCTGTTAGTGTAAACAGCCCCGAGTGGTAACCCAGCTAAGATGTCGGAACTGCTATCTGTTCTTCACTGGCAATCAATTTAGCGGAGCGTTCAGTCAGCTCACGCATCAATCACTTCTGCACTCTGATGTGACTCTGGGAGGAGAAGGGGGAAAACTACTGTTCAGGGCTGCTGGGCCACAGCTCAGGAAAACCACAGAAGACTTCCTTTACAGTAGAAAGCATCATATCTCTGAGAGAATGATGAAGCAAAGAGAATGCAGAAGCTATTGGAATAAGAATATCCTTCTCTGTGTCAGGATCATTCCCTCACTCCATCTCTGCGTGTCCACAAGGATCTCCTACCTTGTCAGGTACAACTGCATCTCTGGAGTGAATGAGATTCCTTCTACCATGACAGCAAAAATCAAGAGATGCAAACACCCCTACCTTAAAAAAAACCCAAAAACCCCAACCCCTGAAACGTGCTAGTAGTCTGCTATCACTGCTATCTTTTCAGTCTTGCACTGGACAGGGTTAAGGGGGAGATTAGGAACAGCATCCCTAGCTAGCTCTGCTCCTGTATTAGCTCCTTTTTGAAGTCCTACAGCTTCAATGCCTGCCATTAGCCAGCAAAACTGAGAGGCATCACTGGCAGCGAGTTATAAGTGATAGGTAGTGCTCCTTCCCAAAAATCTTTTCTTCTCTGCTTAACCCAGCACTGTAGCAGCAGCAGCAAATACTGCACTGTCATACTGGGTCTGGAGAGTGCCTGAAAGCATTCGCTGCCGCCCTCTCTGCAAGGCTGGCAGGGTGATTATCCAGCATTAATGACAGGCAGGGCCTCTCTCCAGAAACAGGGCTGTCACACCCAGCACACTGCCTCTGCCTTCAGCTCCGCACACTCATCCTCCCCCTTCAGAGGGATGCAGAAAGAAGAGCCAGAGAGTTCAGGAGTTTATGCCAAGCAGATTGTGATGAAGAGAAGAGGAAGAAAATCCAGGCTAGCACTTTCACATCAATACAGTTACATTCCCACACAAACAGTGAAGAGCAAAAAGTCAGGTGGGTTGAGTGTATTATGATGCTACTGGCCTACCTAGCATAAAATTTGGGCTTTGTGGCAAAGGGCTAACTTTCATGGATTAAGAGAATAGGAGCCATTCAGAATCAAAGCAAAAACTAAAAGTGGGAAGTGACCACCTCCAGTAACACTTGTACCATCATCACAGACAGCCATCCTCTTGCAGAGAAAAAATCACCAACACAGCCAGACAGAGTTGCCAGCTTATTACAGAGCTCAAAGGAGACCTGAGTTTCAACACAGCTTTCTGGAACTAAATTTGCACCAAACAAGAGGCAGGATGTAAAGACAGTGAGTGGGAAACAGCCCTGAGAGCACTGATCGAGGAGCAGTGCTTTGTGTGACCAGGCGGATGCAGGGGAAAGAGAAACACAAATCCTGTAAAACTACAAGAGTGATGGTCCCAGGCAGGGGAGAGGTGGGGGAAGCCCAGCCAAGCAGAGGATTAGCACCAACACTGGCAGTGCTGTTCCTGCCATCCACACCTCAATTAGCGGTATCATTTGTCAGGATGAATGGGGAACTTGCACTCAATTCGGCAATTTGACAGAGTGTCACTGAACTACCTCCCGTCCATATTTATCCAAGAGGCAAGTGCAGGAACCAGTTTTAATTAGAGCCTGTTTAACAAAGAACCAAGGGTATTACCCATGCTCTCACCATCAAGCGATAATTGAGATGTAATCGTTTAAACAAAGCGCAACAAGTGTCCATTTACCCAAAGCCATTGTTAAATATCCACTAGGAGATTATTTTCAAAATTATAATGTGCCATGAATATGCAAACCACTTTCCATCTTTAGCATTGAAAAGAATAATCACCTTAAAAAAAACCCACACCACCAAAAACCACAACTGGAAGCCAAACAGCTATTTTGCAGCAGAATTTGAGGAGTGTTTTAAATATGCCAATGCTACTTTAAAAGGAGGGGGGGAAAGAAGTGGTGGCTCTGCTTTGGGGCCATTAAGCTCTGTCTGGAAAGCCCTCTTTTGTACAGCATTAACGGGCTGTAAGTCTGTAATTATGCAGAGAATGTGTTAATTTTTAATTCAGATTGCTAACCCCTTTTTTTATGTACAAACCCTGCACGTCAATCCCTCCTGCAGACGACTGTAAGCACCGACACGACCAAATTCAACCCTTGGTGGTAAAAGCAAGCTCTCCCTGGGAGGTTTGGCACTGCACGTTGGAAAGCAGCTCAACTCTGTAGTAAAATAGCTCTTTTACCAAAGTGTCAGTGGCAAGCAAATCCTCTCGA